AAAACAGCATTTTGTATTTAATCAGGTTATCTTTGTATTCTAGTAACGTGTGAGGAACAGCGGATTTTGGTCTCAGAGCCTTAGGTGCAGTTCGCCTCGGTTGTTATCTGAAAGCTTTAGACGTTGATGTGATCCGACGGTCTAGCATGAAGAAGCATCAAAGCTAAGCTTGATTGGGAAACATAAAAACCCATTCAACACTCACAACAATATTAGGAAGTAATATTAACCTGTGGTTGGTCTGTGCTTTCATTCTACGTTCAAAATTTAAAGGGGAATCTGAATAATCCTTGTCATTTTTCGCGAATTTAGAAGTTGTATAGACTTCTTCTGTAGGTCAGAATATTACTTGTGTCTCTTGTCTGTATTTGTGTGTATGTGTGTGTGTGTGTGTGTGTTTGTGTGTGAGCCCCACGTTTCCATGTTGTCCCCCTCCAGGATGGTCTGGACGGGCAGGTAGCCCATGCGTGGGTGTTTGGCAAAGTAGCGCTTGGTCCTGAATTTGTTCTTCAGCACCTTGGCAAAATCACGCACATCCTCCCCTGATGTGGTCTGCAGAGAGAGCAAAGAAGAGGGTCAGAAAAGACACTTTTTAATGGAAAAATCAAAACAAAATGTTAAATTTAAACAATGAGTTGGTGACTTATGTTTTTCAAAGCCATTTACATTTATATTACACAGCTGGTAAGAAGTCATGCTTCGTGCTTCCTTAAAGAGGAATCTAAAATCTCATCTTTTGGAGAATTTCCTCAGATGTGTCACTGCAGCCTACTTCATGTTGTCAGACTGGTCCTATTTAACAACAGATGGTAAAATTTGACCAAAAATATATTTTCACTGGAGTTATTTCATCCTTTAACATGGAGGACAATCTTAAACACAGACTGGTTTAGATTTGTTTCCCCTTTAATCCATGAAATCCTTTGAAAACTGGATTCTCTTTCTCTGATATAAAATTCGCTTTGATGATCTGAAACGTAACTGATGAAAAAGTACAAAAAAAAAAATTAAATCAAGAAATTTTTAAGGTGGCAAATAAGTTTTTGTTGCAATCATGGACAAAATCTGGACTAGAATATATTAGATTAAGTTTATGGTCACTGTGTCAAGATTTAAGCTTCAAATTTCTAAACTAGATGGAGCGGAACACCACCTTGTAGTCCACTGAGATTCGTTTTAATGAAAAGCAATAAAGAACACACTTTCCATCACTAACAGAAAATAATTCAAAGCACCATCAGTTGGCTTATTAGCTGGATGGAGAGACGGCAGCTGGACTCTTAAACGCTGCAGGATTGTTTTTCAGATCCGGCCCAAACGTACCGGAGTGCAGTATTCCACCATGGGGTATTGCATCTTGTGTCCCTTGGCAACGCGGCCGGAGAAGAAGCAGCTTTGGCAAATGTCATAGTTGAAATGTTTCAGGCTCCGATATCTGAAGAAGAAGAAAAATAGACCACATGATTAATAAGAGGAAAAAATGAGAGGAGAGGAACACCAGCCATCTTTTCCAGTCTCAGTTATCTATTATCTAAAAGGGTTTTCTTCTGGTTTTCTCCTTTCCTTCTCTTCTTTACTTTTCCTTCCCTCCTTTGTCTCTTCTGCCTTCTTTGTGTTTTTCTTTTCTTTCCTTTGTGTCCTCTCTCTATTTTTCTGGATCCATGTAACCTGGCGCCTTCAGTTTATTTGATTTTATCTTTTAAAGTCAGCTGTACATGACAAAAAACCTCTAAAGAAAATAGATGAATAAATGTAGGACATTTGTTGCTCACAGAGTATTTTTGTTTATGCATCAGGCTACCACACTGACATAAACCTGACTGAGGCTTTATTCTGAAAAAGCCTCTTAACTGTTCTTAGAAATAAGCTGAGTCATAACCAGGGTCAGTTATGATCTCAGTCCTATTATGGAGGCATGTTTACATCACGTTACGGTTACCATGGCATCTGGCAGCACACAAAGCAGCTGAAGTCAGTTGTGGGCAAAGGAAAGATTTTTTCCTGCCCCATACTGTCGACATAACACATCTAACAAAACAAAATATGAAATAAGAGGAATGAATTATGGAGGCAGTGATTGCAGTTTTCTGGCCGATCACTGATCTTTGAAAAGCCTGGTCTACTGATTCTGATTTTCCTTGATATCAGTTGATCCCAAACTTAAGGAAATCAGGACCAATTCATCACATGGGATGGCATCACTGGGGACGCTCCGATCCATTATTTTGCATCCAATACGATACAGTATCGGCTGGTCGAGGCACAGATATTAATATTGGATCGGTTTTGATTTCAACCACTTCACCCACCTGAACCCGATGATGGGACACTCCTTGCAGATGTTGCACTTGGCTTGGTGCTTGGCGGTTTCTGCAGCCGCGACCCGGTGCAGCACCGGGAGCCAAACCATAGACTGAGGCTCCAGACGCATCCAGTCCAGGAACATGGCGGCCTCCAGCTCAGGTTTGTTGTTGGCCTGCAAAGAAAGAAAGAAAGAGAGAGAGAGAGAGAGAGAGAGAGAGAGAGAGAGAGAGAGAGACAGAACTTCAGACGAATGCGACAGAAACCCAAACCAGGTACTGAGCGCATCAGTGCATCTATGCTCACATTTCTGAAAACACATTTTCTTAGAAACTTAAATTTGGGAGTAATAAAGAAATTTTAGGTTCAGAACTTATTCAGATGCATCATTCAATGTATTGCTGTTAAACGTAAAGTAAATAAATTACCATCTGTTGTTAAAAAAATGCTACATATATCAAATACAACTTAAAAGAAATTTGACTTTGTAATTTAAAGTCCTAAAATTGGGTCTCTGTCTCTTTAAGAAGCTCCTGACTCTTTCTGAAACTGCGCCGCCTTCAACAAGTCATCACAACACGGCTCCTCTATTAACCCTTTAACTACGTTTTTACCAGCATTGCATTGAGAAATAGCTCCTATAATGAATACAAGGTAGTAGGTGTTTGCTAATTGCTGCCGTCTAGTCTGAAGGAGCCGAGTGGAGGATTTGGGGGAGGATTCTGTTCTGTGAGGCGGAAGCTTAAAATCTTGGAAACTGCAAACGCATCACCACGAAGCAGGAACTGAGTCGCCCCAAGGTGGTTGCCACGGGAGATTAAAGGATTTCAAAACATGCATGAAAGAACAAAGGAAACACTCCAGGTGTGTTTTTGTTGAGGGAACAACATTATAACATGATGTAAAGCTCAAAAAGTCGATTTTTACAACATCATATTTTTCAAAGTGTCTTTTCAGGGAGGAGAAACCAACTAAAAATCCCGACAAAAACAGAGAAGAGTTAGGCAGGAAAATGTTCCGCTTTCATTCCGTCTCTCTACAGAAGCAGGACAGCAGAGTCAAAACTACAAAGTTGACTCCAGCTACTGATCTGGATAATGATAAGCTGCCTTCACACCGCCAGGCTGGCAGGCAGCGGGGGAATGAGAAGGCAAGTAATCACATGTAACCCCGCAGAATTAGCCACTGCTTGTGTCTGCATCCAGGTCTATTCCGACCGGTTCTGACTGAGGCACGTACAAACTGGAAGCAGCTGCGGACAGACGGCTCGATGTTGGAGCCGCCGAAGGACGCCACCTCGCCGAGCTGCCGGGGGATCTGGATGGAGTCGTGGAGGAGGAGGCCCAAGCGGCGCTGGTCACAGAAACCCGTGGCGCTGGCGACCTGTCGGAACAAAACTGGAGATGCAGAGGGGAAGAGAGAGAGAAAGAAATGAAAACTTAAAAAAAAAGGATAAATATCAACTCATAAAATAGTTTGATAGCTTGTACAAAATAAATTGTGACTCAAAATAATAGTGTCACTAAAAAAATTATAAAAGATTACAATGAATTCTAATTATTCACTTTGATCATATATCCTTATTACAAAATATACATTTCTTCTTCTAAAAATTATTTTTAGGTATTTTTCATAATTTTTCAAACAAAGCAAACATTAAGTAACAAATATTAATCAAAAATGTGCAAGGCATGGATTTTAACCATGTTTTGTGTTTTCACTTCCAAAACCGATATCTGATGTCTCGTATCGGCTGATACAGAAAAACAGCTGAATTGACTTAAACCATTCCTTCTTTTAAACATAAATGCACTGAATTACAAATTTAAGTATGTCACACTTAAATACACAGATAGCTCCACAAGCTAACAAGTAAAAACAACTTTAATTTATCCACTCAGTGCAATTAGCAGCGTAACAGCACATGTAAAATAAATAATAAAAAAACTGAAACTGACAAAACAATAGGTTGACTGTGTTGGTGAAACATGTAACAATTAACAGCAACAAACCTTTAAAATGCTACAGAAAGCATAATTAGGAATTCTAAATATAGTGTATGATGCATAGAGCAGAAAGCATGGAATTGAACTTAATAGATCTAGAATTGTTTTCAGAATCAGGACCAATACAGGTTTTAATATCAGATCGATATCAACTTAAATTTTAACCTCTAGTTTTATGTACGAGCTGGTTGGACTTACATCGGTATTTATCCTCTAGGTGGGCTTTGCAAAGCGAGATGATTCCAGTTTTGAACGACAGAGTCCGAATCTTCCCAGTGCGCCCGCTGCCAAAGCAACATTTCAGAACCTGGTTAGCTCTGGGGGGAAAACACTCCTGGGGTCGTGTCGGGGCGTGCTTTCACGTACGTGTCGTAGACGTTGAGCAGCCAGTTGAGGCACATGTCCACACTCAGCTGGACGTTGACCAGGTGGGAGTGGCTCTGCTCCAGCCGCTGGTACAGGCTGGTAAGGCAGGCCACCAGCTGGGAGATGTCCAGCAGCTGCTCGTTCTGCTTCAGGGTGTGCTGCTCGAACACCTCGCACGCCGTCTGCATGCTCAGGAGGTCCACTAAGAAAAGAAACACCACCACAGATGAGCTTTGCTTCCAAGTCACCAGACATTCTTGAAATCCCTAAAAAGCGGTTTGAATCAGCAGCTCTCCAGGCTTTTTGGAACATCTTTTAGAGGTTTTGGTGAGTTTTTCCTCAACAAAGAGAAAAGAGCCAAGAATGGGTCCTTGTGGAACGCCAAAAATAATGTTCTACAAGTTTTGTTGACTGCAAACCTCATCTTCTACAGTCCAAAGAAAAACAAAATTGGTGTTGATTGGTCTCAGTTGCGTTCAAGTTTTTCAAGGCCTTGAGACGGACCAGGTGCAATAGAAATTTGGTTGATAATTACATGTGACATTCACTTGAGTAGGTTACAGTTTTAAGCAACATTGCCTCAGAGAACACCACTACTGAAGCCACCCAACAACCGAAGGACGAAGGCGCTGGTCAATCATCAGCTACAGCCTGTCAGTTATTTGCAAAAAGTCTTGAAACATTTAAGTTTCTGAGCCTTAGCAGGCACAAAAGTTTTAAACGGATTAAAATATTTTATTTAGTGACGTTGATGGTGTAACAACCATCTGAAAACAGTACATTTGTATTGAGCTCAGTGTAAGGAACTGCCTCCAGAAGTAGTTACTTCCTTGTTGGCATTAGACAAAAAATGTAAATTTCTTTTTTTTTTTTTTTGGTTTAATTCAGAGCTGCGTACTTGAAGCAAAAGTTAGGAAATTTTACAAAGGTTCTCCTGCGTAACTTGAAAAATATTCCACTGTAACAAACCATCCTAAATAAAGGAGAAAAGAATAATCATAAATGTATTTTTAGTATATTTGCTAAATTTACCGTCATAGCTCTGTAGAGCCATCCATTCCTCCAAACCTCAGAAGGAATGATTTCATGACATACAATTAATCCTATTACAAATAAAACTGTTGATATCATTAATTCAAATCCACAGAAAGTCCTAGTCAAAGTTGTCCGAAGGCCAAGTAGGGGATGCAGCATACAAATACTTGAGACTAGAGCAGAAAAACACCTGAAACATGCACTAAGAGCTACCAAAGTAGCAAGCATGGCCCAGTCAAAGTCCAGCCCTAAATTCAATTGCGATTGAGTGGCTAGAAACATACCAACGAGACACACAAAGCAAATGTTCAACTCCAGAACTCCACTCCTGGGGGATTTTGCTTTTATTTATAAAAAGCTTTGGCGTCACAAATAATTCCTCTGCTCTGTGCTGCCGCAGCAGCCTGACAGAAAGACGTAGGCAGCTCCCACTTTGCAGATCCACAGGCAAAAGATGAGAGGGATGAGTAAACACACATATGGACACCATGATGCGTCAGAAACAGAAACAGAACGGGACAGATGGTTAATAGTACAGAGGAGGCAGGAGAGGCGGGACGAAGACGAGGGAAAGAGAAAAGCAGCGAATGGGGAGGACGAGGCGCAGCGTCGCGACGGGGCGAGGAGCCACCGCGACCGTACTCACAGCAGAGAGCTTTCTGCAGGCGCCTGAGCTTCATGGCGGTGCGGTAGGCCGAGAACCGAACGTTGTTCAGGTCGGCTGAGGAGCAAAACGTTATGTTGTAAGTTTTAAACCCTCCAATAAAAAAAACATTCAAAACACCTTAAAAGACGTTGAGGTGATGCTTACCCAGAGACTGGTAGAGCTCCGTCATCTTGGGATGGTCCCAGCATGTCGTCTGGGTCTGGTGGCTGCAAAGGGACAAAAACAGAGGAAGATTAAAATATTGTGTTGGTAAGTTCAAGAGTATTTGGGTCTAAATAGATGGAGTCCAGCTTGCAACAGAAGTTGGAGGGTTCTTAGCTTGACCTGCTGGTTGGAAACTCAATTATCTGATCGACAAACTAATGGAACCAACAGCAATAAAATGTTGTGGAGACGGGTTTCTCCCAGACCCGTCTGGTGGCAGGGGTCACCATAAATGCATCAACTAGCTTGCATTACTTTTTCGCACTGTATTTAAAACAAAGTAAATGCAAATTCCAAGGCTTTACCTTTGGCAAGTACAGCCTGGTGGCCCACCAGGCTTATAATACATAACATGTTATGGAGGGGGGAGTTAGGTGTTTTAGGAATGTCATATCCAGTTTTTACAGAAAGCAAATAATTAACCATTTTCTCGCTGAAGTTTGATCGGCCATTTGCCTTCCTATCCAATTCCGCCTGATTTCTCCAGTGAGATTTAAACTGGGCCAATCAGGAGTTGTGAACAATGACACTGATTTGACACAGACATTTTGCTGTTTAAGAATTGTAGTCGGAGCAAGAGGAATATTTAAGACGTCATATTGTTGACAGAGATCTCACTCCCTACATGGTTGTTTGTATTGGTATTGAACTCATTTTCCAGTAAGCTTCATTAAAGGCTAATTGCTAATATGAGATGCTAAGCGTATCTTGAAATAATGCCACAAAATGAATAATACATTTAAATATTAATTAAACCCTGCTTTATAGCAACTGCTCTCTCTCTCTCATGTGATATTGCTGCTGAATAAGGAAAAATCTGGGCTTTGACTAGGCCTATAGCTTAATTTCTTCACTCTCAGACCCTGATTGGCTGACATACTGGTACATATTGGGTCAATGTCCAGTTCTGCTTCAGCTTTATTCTTATTTTTTCAACTGGCCCCACACATGATGCACATTTTTTTATATATTATTTGGATTTCTCACCACTGTTAAAATGTCCAAATATGAAAAACTATTTTTCACATTACTAGTTTAAAACCTTTCCAGCCATACTTTAGTATTCGAAGTAAATAAAGCCAGGGATAAAGGTGAAATGATATCTTGGTGTTCTCCTCTGTGCAGGTGGATGTTTCAGGTCAGGCTTTAATAGTAGGTGTGCAAAGTGGGTGACTGCTGAACACAGTGGGCGGTGTGGCTCAACCACTGCATCGAGCAAAACAAAGAAGAGAAGAAGAACGCAGTGCAGCTCGGACTTTTTCAAGCTGTCCGGTTTCTACCTGGGGCCAAGGCAGTGCACAAACGCAACCTGGTCCAGCTGGGAAGCGGTCAACGTGGGTCCAGCTGGTTGTACGAGAGCACACCCGCAGTTAACCTCCGTCTCTGAAGCACGCACAAACAATAATCGGCCCGCAGGCTTGTTTTGCCTCTCTCCCACACTCACACTCCCGATAATGAGGAGAGGGGTCCCCTGGTGAAGAGCTACTCTAAAATCCTCAGCCTCAAAGTGTGGATAAACAGCAGCTCGTCATGAGAGCGCCGCTCACACAAACGCCCCCGAATGAACGCGCAGCAGCTGCTTTCACCGGCAACACGGCAACGCATCGGGACCGAGAACGGCTGCGGGTCAAGCGAGGTGTTTGTCCAACGTGGAGCGTTGACTCATGTAACAGTGAACAGCTGTCGTTTTTTTCAGCAACCAGCTGAAAACGACACTTTGATTACAAAGTTGTAAATGGAAATCAAAGAGATAATTCAAGGTATGAGACTGGATCAGACCTAGATATGAGAAAAATGTCAAGAAAATTAATGTTAAATTTAAATATTATACTAATGTTAAATGTTTGCTATCAATATACATTCCTCATCTCATTTTTGGCGTTTCAACCAGAACATTGGTACTGGTTGAAAGATCGACCGATCCCCTTTTTTCCCCCCTTTCGATATCTGAGGTTTAATATTGGCCTTTTTTTTTTTTTTTTAAACACATACGTAAATGCACTGAATTACAAATGTATTTGACTAGGACTAGTAAAAAATGCACAAAGACGGTGGTCCGATGTCACAGCTGAGGGGCATACCAGGGCTCAGATAGATGTTTTAAAGAGTAAAACCGATGTAAAACCACATGGATCTGTGGCATGAAATATCATAATTGTAAAGCAGCGCAGTATTTCTCAACACACTACAGTCTAAGGGCTATTCTTGCTGCTGTATCATTCAAAAAGAGGCTATTCTATCCCTTGGATAGGACAGAGAGAGCTTCACACTCGATGCCCTGCATGATTAAGACTCTTCTTATAGAGAAGTAGCTCTTGAGTAGCAATGAGAGGAATTGATTAATAAATTGAAACTTCTTTCTAAGCTTCTAGCACATTTAAGTGACTATGTGTACTTATTCAAAAAAGGTGAGAGAATAACAGAATTTTAAAGCACAGCAACGAGCTAGGTACTAGTTGCTAACAATATTGACATAATCTACAGAGATAAATCCTGAAGAAGAACTTTAGGCTTAAACACGTGTTTGCTGTTACGCAGCAGGGTAATAATCTGAAGCAAACCAGCAGTTTTGCCAACAAACATGTATAAAAGCAGGTTTTGGAGTGGTCTAGTCAAAGTGCAGGCTGAGAAACGAATGAAATTCTTTGGCATGACCTTAAATAGCCATTCTCTGTCCAAAATACCCCACGATGCTGCTTAATTTAAAAAGAAATGCTAAGAAGGTCTAAACTAGGTTGGTTTCTATATGTTGGTATTCATTCAAGTGCTCATGCTTTTCTAAAAATTGACATTTGTTTCATGACTTTTTTTCATGTCAATCAAATAGTCATGGACTAAAAAGTGAATTGGTCGGAGCACGCACACGCGCGCGCACACACACACACACACCTGCACACGCGCACACACACACACACACACACCTGCAATCACATGGGTGCCAAAAATGGGAAGCAGCCATTCCCATAAAGACTAAATCCTATCCAGCCATGCTGAAAACCGATAAGTGGATCATCGGATCGGTGCAAAACAGCACTAAATGTGCAACAATTCAGCGCCGATTTGCCAGGAAGGTGACCGTGTGTGGAGTGTGAAGGAATTCAAACACTGCTGCACTGACGGCGGGGGTCTGTGTATTACACTCGTTGAGATTACCACGTATTCCCCAGTGGGAAAAATTCAATCACATACTGCTGACATGCAGGCGCAGCTCCGGGCTGAATATATACAGATTCATGTTCCAATATGGCAGCAGAGGAGCGGGGAGGAGAGCGGCTCGAGGAGGCGCGAGTGGCCGCACACCTCGCCTCGCTCCCCCGGTAACAACCGCAGGAAGGGTTAAATCACTCCCAAAGAGAACCATTGACCTCCCACTTCATTAGCGGAGAAAGGGAAAAGCGCTTCTCGCTCATTTCTCAGCAAAACCGACAATTCGCTTTAATATTCTGTTATAATTGACTGACAGTCAAAGCACACGGTCGATGTGCGAGCGGCGTGAAAAGCTCCCCTGCATTACCACCATCCCCATTATTTATCAGCACCACAAACATTCCCCAGCCCCTCTGCAGCTACTCACTTCCGAAACTGCTCCCGCATCGCCCGCAAATCACAGCCCTGCGAGTCCAGAGGTGATGGCTCGACTCAGCGAGGAGAGAGGAGGAGGACAAGGCGGACGGAGCGTCTCCTGACACCGGCGAGAGGCGTCCGAGGTTACCGTGAAGGGCCTAAGCGAATCGGTGTGTGTTCCTCTCTGCAAGCGGCAGCGACGGGGCTGCGGAGGCTAACACGTCGCGAAAATACAGCGGAGGAACACTTCCGCTGGGTCAGACAAAATAAAAGCGGCAACCACTTGTTTCACCACTTATTTTATGGCTTCGGCATCACTCTGAAACAAATTCCTCTTACTTTCGAGCAGCAAAACAGGCGTTTAACTCAGGTCGTCAACAATGCTCCCAGAGGCGTAGCTAGGATTCTGAAACACTGGGCTCAGTCCAAATATTCAGGAGGGGGCCGGGGGTCTTAATAAATTATAAGAACATCAAAAGTTAATATGAGTAATTCTAGTAAAACTTGTGCACATGCAACATTGTATTCATATTTAAGATTATCAGGATTAATTTAAAAATGTTCTTAGATTGCAATGTCTTTTAAATATTGTCACCTTCCTAAAATTTTGAGGGGCTGATTTTTTGTCTTAAAGTCAAAATCACTTTTGGCAAAAATAAATTAGACCATTAGTTTAAGAAGGTGACAATATGTAAATCCATGTGGTTATTTTATGTTATTTTTATGTAACCATTTGTGTTCTTAAATAAACTATTATTCCTAACAATCTATTTTTATAATTATATTTTTAAGTATTCATTAGGAATGTCCACTCTGAAACTTGCATGGCTTGTCTTGATCTTCCAGTGACATCATACAATAAAGTGATGTATTTAAAGTGTGCCTCCCAATAGCTCAAATGTGACATCATCGTCTGGGAAGGAAACACTTAGTCTGATTTAATGTTAGGCAGTGGAAAACATTGCTTTGTTTTTACACAGAGTAAAAGAATCTGGCTTCAACTTTCATGCTGAGGGGGTGATGGGGGACAAATGGGTTGTTCCAGTCCAATCCCCTCTCCTGTCGTGTCCTTGGTTAAGACACTTCACCCACCTACAGTTGGAAAGCCTGTTTCTATCCCCTTAAATTCTGTCATATTTGTTTTAAAAAAATGCATTTGTGGCTTGAGCAGCAAAATTTGGTATGTGTTTTTCAATGCCAAACAACTTATGTTTTGCAAATAAAAATGTGTGTGGGGGGAAAATGAAGCAGTAACAACATAAACCATTTACAAGCAGCATCTGTGGGAAAACAAAGCCTGTGGTGACTGAAGGTTAACTTAAATCCAGACAGATGTTAAGATGGGATTCAGCAACCAGCAGCTGAATTCTTTCTCTTCTCTTAGTTAATCAGGTACGCCACCATAATTTCATAGGTTAGGCTGTTTGAAGAGAGGATTTTATTTTATTTTTTTTTAAATGGGAAGAGTCCACATACTCAACTCTGATGATGCGGCACCACTTAAGGAAAAGAAACAGGGTTTTCTACAGTATTCATACAGTAAATTGCTAAGATACATTGTCGGAACAAAATCAACAAAATTTTTTGTAGTCGAAAATAAACTATAGCCACATACTTAATTTAACCTCTAATTTAGCTTTGCTTTAGTTCTATTTTTACTTGTATTCATTCTAAATAAATACTTATTCTAACTTTTAAAATAGTTTCAAATAAATGTAGATTTCATTTTCATTTCTATATTTCATATGTCTGTCGTTAATTTATACTGACAAATATAAGTGTCCTGTTCAATTTATGTTTGACATAGGAAGATTATTGGTGCGGCACAACCTCCAACCTCTATTTCCTTCTTCAATTAGCAGTATATATTGTATAAAATGTCACTTCAGGTGAGAGTTGCTTTGAAACTCTAGAGGTCTGTTTCGATTTTAGCTTCTAAGATTGAAGTATTCTTTTACACTTAGCCACAATTTTTTTTTTTTTAATGAAGATCTTTATTTTGAAATTAAACCCTGCTTACTTCCTGTCTAGCCTGGCCTGCCGCTCAGCATCGGCCCACAGCTCTGCTAGACCAGGCAGAGATCAGGCTCCCTGCCTCTGAATCCCTTCCCCCCCTTCCTGCTGTTTCAGGGAGCAAAAGAGCCTGAACATCATCTGAGGGGGGTTTTCACCTCCCTGACAAGAAGGACGGATAGTGAGAGCTAAACACCACTCGCACTCGGCATCGTGAAGCAGAGGGAGAACAATAAAGGCCGGCTGGGAGAGAGCTAGAGGAGGGAAGGAGAGCAAAGTGTCTTTTACTTGTGAGAAAGGAGAGATAAGGAGGAAGGGTGAGGGGAGGTGGGGGGAGTAGCTCTGCTTTGGGAGTCAGTGTTGCAGGACTGAGAAGAAAAGTGCGGACAAGTCTCAACTGTTACATTAACTCTGGAACAGTGTGGAGGTGTGTGTGTGTGTGTGTGTGTGCGTGCAGTGAAACAATAGCCGTTCGTGCCCATACGAATACAGCTGCAGAAATTCGGACGATCCACTCTGGATTTTATGCCCCCAATTACTGATGAGTACCAACTGTAGAGTGAAAACATGTGGATCCATCAGGAGATCCTCGCCGGTATTTAAACATGAACAGCTGCTACTGAAAAGCTTCCAGCTGATTTAAAATGCAAAAGCATGTGTTCGGTTGTAGCATCTCATCTTTTTTCCTGGTAAGCTGACAATTTGTCCAAGACTTTACAGCAGCGTGTGATCCCTGCGGCGTAGGTTGACCTCTTAAGGAAAAGTTCAAACATGTTCTCCGCTCTGGTGTCCAAATAATTTATATCAGATTCTTCCAATTCTTCTTTTTGTAACTTCAGCAGCCTCTTTCTGATTGTACAACACTAGCAAGAACGTTGACCTTTCCATGGTGACGTTTAAGGGTTTTTTAAGACTCTTAAGCATCTTGTGGTCTGTTTTCAGACGGCGACATGCTTGCGGTCTGAAATCTGCGTTAAGGACTTGAAGTAAGCACGAACAACTGACTTGCAATTCTTCCAAAAGCTCTTTGTCACAATGTTCCCTTATGGTTGATGTACAGTGGTTCATAAGTTTGTCCCAAATCAGCCTTCAACATCATTGAACCACAAAATGTCGGAATGTATCTATATACTGTCCTTCTCTTGACATCGATCAAACAAAAATAGTATGAGTAGAAAAATAGTATGAAACGACTAAGCTTTAGTCGTTTTTGAAACATACGTCATATATATGTAAAACAAAACAGAAGAAGTAAAGGCGGTAAATATGTTAAAAACAAACATGAAGTTGAGTTAAAGTTCCCAAGGGAAATCCGTTTATCTCAGAACAGAAGAAACAGAGCTGCTTTCACAAAGGGCAGGAGAATGTGAGGATCAGCTGGCCCACCACCCAGAGATCTGCACTTACTTGATATAATAGGGCACATTGTTTGGAGAGATGCCCTGCTCGAACGGTCTTTCTACCGATCCTGGAGAAGACACAGGGACAGATGAGGAGTGTCACAACAAAAGACCTGAACTTTCACACAGTTTATGCATTATCTGGGGGAAAAAGGTGCAACAAATCCCAAGATACTCTTCTTTTTAATCTTCTTTTTGTTACTTGACCTTTACAAAGATAGGATGTTGCAAAGCGAGCCTGCTCTTTAATTTACCCTGATATGTAAACTATTCTGTTTTTCAGTAGATATAAAAAATTGTCCCAGCTTCTTGTTCTTTTTTCCTAACACACTTCCTCCTTTCACATAACTATCCATTAACAACCTTTTATGGCTTATGGTTGAATACTTTCCTGTATCATTTATTTATTTTCGTGTATTTTGGGGGTTTACATTAGATTTTAAAAAAACCACACAGCTACCAAAATCAACAGAGTAAAACCTGGCAAAATCATAAAGTTTAGCATCATTTATTTTATTTTATTGGGCATATAGAAATGAATATGAGAGGGGCGGGGCCTCACCTTGAGAAAGGCAGAAGTCTGTGTGAGCGTCTGTCAGCTGCTTCAGATGTTCTTTGACAGATATCTGTTAGACAGAAAGCAGGAGCCATTCTAAGAAAAATAAAATAAACATTTTTATTCATTGCCTGACCCTCTGATGTTCATTTAGATACATTTTATGACCAAAACACAAATCAATTCAATAATTCTAAAAGCTAACAAGGATAGTTTAGAGTTTTAGAAGAGCTGTTCTCATACAATTAAAATGTATTTGATCAAAGTGATTTTCCAGAGTATTATTCTGTGTTATATCCCTTCATTTTGAATAAATTAAATCTTGCCAATTATCTACTAATTTATCGAGATTTTGCCAACTTCAGCAAAATTTGAACTATGCCTTTAGTTTCTTCGGTTGCAGCGTGTAAAAAAGTAATGGAATAGATCATCTTTACATTTTCCAGATGTATGTTTTTCCCTCCACTTTGATGTTATTTTTAATCACCAACTAACAAGCTACGTCCACTTGTTTTAGTTGCATCGTTTGGTTTGTGCGTAAAAAGAAAAAAAGTTATTTTAGCCAAATATATCGACAAAAATAAATCTAAATTATATACATTTAAATCGACACTTGTAAATAATTATAAAGTGTACATAAGAACACATTGGTGGCCTGAGTGAAGAAAACAAAGATGAACATGGACAGGATGACTGAATGTGAAGTCGAGGAACTGCAGGGTGACACAGTCTGAATGAGGCATGTCTACATGCTTCATTTACAAATGTTATCTGAAATGTAAAACGTAGCAAAACAACAGGAGTCCCACTCTCCTGTCAACTCACTTCCTCCTTAATTGAAACTATTATAAATACCACCAGGATCTATGAACCTTTTGGGTTAGGTTCATTTCTGCCAAAAAAAACAACAACAAACAAACACTTTTTAAATTAGATTTTAAAGGACAGGACTGACAACAAGATCATTGTTTGATAAATAGAAATAAAACATTCTAAAGTGTTCCAGTATTTCTGCTAAAATTTCAGCTAAAGTTCTTGTGGATGATCTGGTAGCTCCCCAGTATTGTATAACTTGACAAAAGCACAAGTTTAGCCTGATTGCTAAAAGTCTGTGTTGGATCAAAACCTGATGAGGTTGAGACTTTCCCATAGGCATTTCAATAGATTTGAACATCACCATAAAGTTAATTTATTTCAGTAATTAATTTTAGTTGTTAATGTGGATTGTTTCCTTGCCAACACTGCTATTGGTTTCCTATCAATGTTATTTTTAGTAGAATTAAAAAGACTAATGTCAAAAATGGTTCTTAAATATAATTTTCTATAGTCTGTATTTCAATTTGTGGTTTTATGACTTCCATAAATAATATCTACCAGCAGAAGGAACACATTTGTGGAGGGGTGAATAGTCCTGGAGCCACGAGACAGACATACTGGTGGCACTATTTTTAGTAAAGTAGTGTCTGTGAAGATTAAATACATGGCAAAATATCATTCCTTAATAGAAAATGATGGAAATTCAGCTGATTCTTGCTGCTTTGTCAACGCCTGCCAGGAAGCTACATCTTTAAAGTCCCCAGGGGAAGCACCATGGTATGTGTGTGAGCTTGGGTGTTGAAGTCCTCAAGCTGCTGGACTGAGATGGGTTAGAGTCCATCTTTGTGGACAGACTGGCTCATTAAACATCCAACCTTTCATCTGCTACCCAAATGACAAAGCAGCTGATGACACAGCATGGGAAAGAGGAAGTGAGAGGAGGAGAGCCGCGATGTGAGATGAAGAAGATGTGACAGTGATGGCCCGTCCCAGTTTTTCTGCTTCTATGCAGCCAGGAACTGAAATTACCTTTGAGTCCACCTCATCCAGTCCATTGCTGCCCGAGTTGCTTTTTCCCGTATCCACGGTAACCTGATTAGAATTGTACAAGAGACGGTGTGGGATTGTTGAGGCAGAACCTGCTGCTATTACCGAGAGTGCACTTTGTGCCTATGTTGACCATCACCTGCGACCCTTTAGGCATAAAAGAACAACGTGAACTCGCTTGAAAGAGCTGAATCTCGAGCTATTTCCCTCCTCCCAACACAGACATACACATATATGAGATGTACAAAATTAAGTTTAGACATAATCCCATCTAAACAAATCATTAATACCTAGATTGAAGACTAAAAGAAGTTTTTAAGAACCAGTTTAAACTCTAAATGGCAACACTCAAAGGACAATGAAAAACAAACAAGAGAAGCCAAAGTAATTACGACTTTAGCTTTTGGTATCAGATCAGTAAAACAGTCAAACACTCCACATTGGTTCGGCAGGTTTTGTTGTTCACCCCTTCCTTCAGAAGTGCATTCTTCAAAATGTACAGTTCCACGATTGCCGTGATGACTGAACAAACTACTGCATCACTGGCCAACACTGGATTTCAGCTCAGGTCAATGCTCTTGAAAAGTTCTTGAAGGTTTAACTGTATGTTTGAGACATAAGAAACGTCTTGAGATGCCTCACTTAAACCATATGCAAACATTTAATACATCCGTAGAGATGAGTCCTGATTCTATTGCGATAGGGTCCAATTTCTTTTATGGACATTTTATTATTCACTGTTTTTTTTTTGTTTTTTTTGCATCAAATAAATTTATTTGCAGACCCAGCTGATATTACAAGAAGTTCCCATGGTTGCCATAACACACAGTAGTGAACTGTGTGTTATGGCTAAAGCCGAGCAAAGAAACACCTTGGTTTATTGTTGCAAAAAAGAAAGCCAAATGTTTGTGTCGGTGCCAAAGCATCTGCTCCGGTCCGAACTTCAGAAAGACCAGCCTTCTGGTCCCGTCACTGCTGTTGCATCCAGGCATCCATTTCATCCGGCTGATTGGCTCTATCCGTCACACCCTGTTATGATCACCGGTTGACTTCCAGTACACAAAGGGTGGTGTTTATTGTTGCTGACACAAACCGAGGCTGAACTGCCTCTGATCACTGGCACCTCGTCATTATGAAAGGATTCTACCATGAAGGCTGAGCTAGCTCAGTTTAATCATAGTAATCTTAGTAGTAGCCAAAATGTCTAAAATATTTAGAAGAGCCCTCAGATCATAAAAGCCGGTTGTGATAAAAGACTTGGTGTAGTCTCAGGAGTACAGTCTATCATTTAAATGTTAGTTCAGCCAGCTACTGCTACTACAACCTGATGATATATTCTTTTATTACATATTAAATACATGTAATTACTCACCATTTCAACATTTTATTTTGCTTTACATACTGAATAAGCAACTAATTAATGTGTTAAAAAATGAAAATTTGCTCAAGTTTGAGCCATTAAAGTAGATTTTTTTGGGGGTAATACTCGGTTAGATTCTAACATTATCTAATTTATCTTGGCCACAAATCCTTCTGAAAAACTTTCAGAAGGATTTACCAGCAGATACACAAAGGAACAAATCAGAACTAACTTAACGCAGCTACTTCCACATGATTTTAGCACTGCAGTTCTAGAATTTATTCATTGTGTGCAAACTTTGTGTTCTTTATCGGCTGTATAAAGAACACATTTTGAACAGTAAATAAGTTTAATGATTGGAAAAAAATGTGTTTGTATCCAACCTTAGTTAGCTTAGTGATAGCATTAAGGCTAAATTCAATCTTGCTAACATGGCATAACTCATTAGCTGCCTAATGTTAATTAATATGAATTAATTCACAAAGCAGTAGTGCCAAGCAGAAACCATCTACCGCAGAAACTACCGTCCATGATTTTCCTATTCTCCGCTCTTGGGGGATACAACCAATCAACATAAAGGAAAACGAATGGCATTCCTCCATTGGCTGTTTTGCAAACACTAACCAATAGCGTGTGAATTAGCATTGCGCTTAGCTATTCCAGCTTCTCAAGCTGCATTTTGTTTTAAATATTTCAGATATGGATTATAATATAAATCTGTGAAGAGGCAGGTTTTCCACCAATATGGAACCGCAAGTGTGTGTGTGCGTGTGTGTGTGTGACCTCTGTACCTAATGAACCATGACCCCACCAAAGTTGGGATTGTCATTCACTTCACCAATTGTTTTTGCAAGAAAACTTAACACGGTTTGGGGCTGAGGTCTTGGCTAAATTTAGTCAAAGCAATGTCAGCCTTGGTTGGTTAATAAAGTGCAAACATTGCTCTAACGTCCTTAAAAGCTTTGCCTACATGTGTTTTCAGTGCTTCAGCTTTTCAGCCACCTTAACATTTTGATGGAAGGCACTCAGGCTAATGTCCTAATAAGGTAAAAGCTTTGACCTCTCAATCCATGAACATATAAATTAAGTTAAGAGACCTTTACAATGACAGGTAAAATGTCTTCACACAGCTGAATTTAGTCATCCACTGGTCATGATTGCAAATGAGAGCATTTTAGTAGGTAAAATTGTAGTTAAATAACTAAAAACGGCAAGGTTAGGGAACCAGGAGCTAACCAGATTGGAGGGTTAGTACCCTGGTTTAGGTTGGAGACAGTTTTGTGTGTGTGTGTGCGTGTGTGCGCGCGAGAATGTTTAAGGGTACATACTTGGAGCAGTCTCCAGCGCGTGTTGAGGTCTTCAATGCGTTCCAGGTTGCTAGGAGACAACTGGATGTCGGATGGATCGAACGTGGATGCCAAATGGTTCATGTGTGTCACATCGTCCTTAATCAGAGCTATTTCTTCCTGGAACTCCTGAGCCAAAGAGAAACACACACATATATATATATATAAACATTTGTAAACACTCAGATTAAAATGACAATGCAGATAATTACTCTTATGAAGACAGAGTCTTGGTTTATTCTCTGTTGGTTTATTCTGGAGTTACCTTGACTCTGCTGATGTGCTCAGGTAAGGAGTCAATCAACAGTTCCCCTACGGGTTCCCAGCCCTGCTTCACCATCTCCGCCTGCTTCAGCTGCTTGTCCAGCAGGTCTTCTGCTTCCTGGAGCTCCATCAGTCTGTCCAGGGCCAACTCCAACCTCCTCTGCCAGTCGGCCGAGTCGACGTTGAGCCGGTCCCACCGGCTCACCACGTCGTCCGCCTCTTTGCGCAACACTCGGCCCACGTTCTGAGCACGCTCCTCCGGGCTGATGTCTGACGTTTGGGATAAGCCAGGTCTGGCAAAATGAGTAACTCATAGCAACAGCCTCATTTATTAAGCTATATTTGATCAGTTGTGCCTCTGTGAAGGTACAACTAGTATGTTTCTAGAAACTGGTATGTTTCCAGAAACTTTCACCAATTCTTCACATAATAGCTCAAGTTCAGTCTGGTTGGATAAAAAGCTCTTGTAAGCCCCAATTTCCAAGCCAGGCCACAGATTCTCAATAGGATTTAGGTCAAAATTTTGACTAGACCATAGAAATATTTGCGCCTTAGAAAGGTATTTACACCCTTCTGTCTGTCCCTCAAGTTGTTGAATTTTGGCCATTAAACTTGGCCAAACTCTGAGAGCCACATGAGGGCGATAGAGCTGCTGCCTGAAGCACTGACTGAGCAGACGCTGGAATTCCCCTCTTCCTCTCTGAACCTGCTCAAGTTGGCAGCCTGTCAGATTTATTAGACCACACTTTAGGCTTGGCTTGTTTTGTAGTCCAAGCTGCTGCCATGGTGCAAACAGCACGGCCAGTAAAGCATCTGCCACTGCGTTTCCGTGTCGACCTCCACAAGCAGTCGTCGCTAGGCTGTCACTAGGCATGTTTTTAATTTATGAGCAAAGAGAGAGGGAAAGCTAATCCTCCTTCCTTTATGTCAGATTTGAGAACTGAAGGAGTTTAAATCCTCCAAATCCAAAAGTTCATCATTCTACAGGTCAGGTAGTGTACAGGGTGTGTGAAACTGAACCTAGAACGTGGGAGATCACTGTTTAATTTATGATTAAACAATGTAGTAAATAACATTTTCATGAAGACTTCTTTGACTACTCAAGGTGTAGTTAATTGACCTTTGAGGAAAAGTCAAAACTTTTGTTAAAGTCAACATGTGGCATGTTCATCTTAAACTGTAAATGAATAAAATAACCAAATAAATAAATAAATAAATGTCAAATGGTTCTTTGAAGGAACAATCTCAAAACAAAAACATTATAAAGCAGGAATAAATGCGTTATTTATGTCAGCGAATCTGTTTTAGACATAAATGAAGTTTGTGTGTGTGTGCGTCTGTGTATTACCTCTCAGTTCAGGTGATGGCGACTCTCTAGGCAGTTCGGACAGGAAGAATCCCACATCATCAAGAGCCTTGGTCACCACCGGATCCTTGGCTCTGAGCTCCATTTTGAACCCCTATGACGGACACACACACACACACACGCGCGCGCGCGCGCACACACACACACACGCACACACACGCACATGTTCAAGTCTCTTATCTACTTACACCAGAGGTAGCTTTCATTCCACTTATCTTTGATCTCAGAACAAACGATGCTTGGAATCGAGTGTCAGCTACACTGGAGGTTTTCTTCGATTTCATTGGCTGTTTTACCATTTACCATGACAGAACATTATATTTAATCTTTACTTATTTTGTTTTTTTTGTATTTTTTGGTGGCAAACCCTGCATGTAGAAATTAAATTATGATGCTAGTGTGAGTTTCAGGAGGTCATGGATTCTTCCAGTCTGATTCTTCTCATTTTAGGCTTTTATTATCGTCCCTAAACACAGCAATTTTCTGTTTTTTTAATCCAATAAAGTCTAATTAAAACAATTTTATGCCAGAAAAAAAACATCACATATTTCCTTATTAATCTTAGACATAAGCTTGTGTCATGTTTCCCCCTTACTCTGTGTGTATCCAGCTGGGACTGCACGGTGGGAACATCGCCCCCTACAGGCTTCTCCTGCTCCAGCTGCTGACTCTTGAGCCTTAGCCAGTTCAGCAGCTCCTGCAGTGACATGTGGAGCCTCTTCCAGGGAGCCATCTCAGAGTCCAGCTGTGACCTACCAAAGAAGCACAAGCTTTTTCCTCCCACCTTTTTTCTTTTTTTTTAAATCATCTGGATCCAAACTGAAGCATTTCTCCCTCTTTGGTCCGTCTGCAGTCCAGGTGTGTCTCACCTCATGCTGAGAGTCTTGCTGCGCAGGTCGTTCCAGCGCTGCCTCATGTTGTCCAGACGCCTCTGGAGCAGAACCCGGTCCTCAGGGTCCCTCAGAGAGGTCAGGATCCTCTGGCCGTTCTCATCCAGGGAGTGATACAGCTCTTCGTGGCCGTCCACCTCTGCCTGGAGGTCCTAGTTTAACACAAACAGGCAGGATTTATAATAAAAATGCTATACCTTGAAATTGGGCCTGTCTCTTTAAGAAACTCCTGCTCTTTCTGAAACTCCGTCTCCAGGAAGTCATCACAACATGGCTCCTCTATTAACCCTTTAACAACATTTTTACCAGTGTTGCACTGAGAAATAGCTCCTATAATGAGCTCTGCAGTTTCACCAGGTGTTTGCTAATTGCTGCTGGCTAGTCTGAAGGAGCCGAGTGGAGTCCTGGGGGAGATCTGCACTTCGGTGTACCCAGGAGTTTTGCACAGTTGTATGGTTGCTATGGGGATTAAAGTAAATACTTTACTCAAACATGCGTGACAGAATCAAAGTAACACTCAGGCATTTTTTTTGTGTGATAATTTAGTAGCATTATAACATGGTGTAAAGCTCAAGAAAGTTGCCCCTTTAATGCAACAAAATTTTGATGGCTTTTTCTGCTAATAAAATCCTCATTTGAAAACTGCTTTTTGTATGTGCATGTGTTATATTAAAATTTGACAACAGAAATCTGTATTTTAAGGGATAGAAGTATTATGCAAATTGGACTGTTGTGAGCTTTAATTCAACTCAGTTAAGTTTATGTATATAGCACCAATTCTCAACAAATGTATCAAGGAACTTTACAAAACAAATTGCCGCCATGTCATCAAAAAACATAACTGGAGTGTTGCTTTGATTCTTTCATGCATGTTTGAGAAATTCTTTAATCTCCCATGGCAACCATGCAGCTCATTGGTGGAACTGGTAGCTCATTATAGGAGCTACTTCTCAGTGTAACACTGGTAAAAATGTTGTTAAAGGGTTAACAGAGGAGCCATGTTGTGATGACTTCCTCAAGGCGGAGTCTCAGAAAGAACAGGAGTTTCTTAAAGGCACAAATGCCCAATTTCTCGCAAAGTCAAATTTTCACTGAAGTTGACATAATTACTTGACTGTGCTGTAAATGATACTCTGTGGCTAGAAAGCACATAACACTGCCTCTTTAACCAAAGATTAGGTCAGACATGAATATGACAAGAGAAGAGTTTCACATGAATCCAATGGGCTCAACGATCATCGGTGAAACAAAGAAGTTCTTTATCCATCTGAACTTTAACGACAAAACTCTAAAAACGACAACATCCACAACATGTAAAACACACAATGACAGTACATGTATTTTCTGTTTTTATAACAGGATCTTTTTCCGCTTTACAAAAGAACGAAGCCTGAATTTTACGTTCCAACCTGAACTTGGTAGACCTTCCTACGCAGCATCCTCCAAAGAAGAAACTAGACGCTAAGTCGCAGAGGAAGCGCCATCATGTTTTTCCTCTGTTCTGTTCAAACGAGCTCCCCGCGCACAGCGGCCGCACAGAAATGCCCTCCGTTTAAAACGCGAGGCAGATACTGGAGACGAGACGGACGGGGAGGGCAAGGAGACAAAGTTGGGCCGGGTAAGTTGGTGGAAACACAAGAGGGGGGCGAGGAAGAGATAGGAGGAGGAAAGAGGCAAAGAGGACATGAAAGCAAGAGGAAAACGATGAGTGAGCTCGTTTTCCAATTAAACCTTATCTGCGTGTGGCGTTGTCGCCCCGGAGAGAGTGTGCACACTTCTCTGGGTGCTACAGCTGCCATAATAATTGGACACAGAAGACTATCTCAGCGCTGCACACAGCACTGCCTGTTGGACTGACACAACTCTTAATGCATGTGTGTGTGTGTGTGTGTGTGCGTGCGTGTGTGAGAAGAGGGAATAAAAGCTGAAATTTGCATTTCAGATTCCGTTTCCAACATGCGAGTGTGTCCGAGTTTCGACACAGAGAGCGAGTGGGAGCAGGATGAGGGTCAGAGTGTGTCCTCGCCACAGACAGAGGCCACCATTCAACACCCACAATGCAGCGGGGGGCATTTTTCCGTATGTCCGCCAGACCGGGAGCGGCCAATAAGCTCTCTTCATGCTGCCTTATCAGCATTGTTGTCATTCCAAGCAGGGGAGGGAATTGTGCAAGTGTTTTCTTTTTTTCTTTTCTTTATATTTTCGACTTGTTAATCAAACACTGGGCTGAGCCAGGAGGACGTTATCTTCTGGGATGGCGTTTGATGTCAGCTTTACAAAAACTGAAGTGAGCTCGATTAAAAACACTGTAGATCTAAAAAGGCTGGAGTGAGACGGAAAGTTTAAAGTCTCGCTACAGGATGTTGATTAGATTTTGGTTTGGTATTCTCCACAACATTCACCTTCAAATGGCCTCATGCGACCTACGGACGACTTTTTCACCACAGTCTGAATGACGCAATTCTGGTCGTTTTACCCCCGTAAAAGAAAAAGAAAAAAAAAAACAGATGTGTGGTACTAATTCGGGTATATATCCGATTGTTTTCTGCAGTCTGAACCGTCACGTCACAGTAATATTGTTCATCATGATATCTGGGACAACTTATCGTCGAGCAAATTTACTGCGAAATTTACGCAAAAATTGTCAAAAAAGTTGGGTTTAAATAGCTGTGTTTCCATTTTGTGCAAACTGTAATTTCAAAAATAAACTCGCTGAATTGAAAATGGCAGATTTTCAGCTGTAACAAAATGGATGTATTTCGCAAAACTGCAATGGAGACACCTTTTTTTTTTTTTTGCATCACATGAATCATGTGGTTGACACCGAAAACGACAACACACTGCACGGCAGATGGACATACTTTTCGGGAGGCCATCACTGTTTGTATTAAAAATCTCGGCCCAAATAAAATACTTAATATTTCAATATTCCTGAGAGACAGAATTAGGGTTTTCATCTGCCGTGAGCCATAATCGTTCACACAGGCAGACATAAACATTAAAAATCTATCACTCTGTATGAATATAGAAAAAAAAAAGAAACGGAATGAGGAAAGATGCAGAAGAAAGTCTCTCTGCTAAACCTGCTCTGCCCTTATGCCATGCTGTCCTTGTGAAAACAATTTACTCTCTGCCCACACAGCTCCAAAGCTGAGTGCTCCTCCATTATTCATGCAGGGGCCAGTGTTTTATATATAAACACAGGAAATCTGTTGCATTAATATCCTGACTCGGCGAGCGAGGAAACATGAGGGAATCAGTCATCGTCTAATGACGTCTGACAGGTGGAGTGAGAAACACGGATAATCCTGTTCCACTGGTACCTGGTGAGGGAAGGGGGGACGGATCAAACAAGAACTGTGATGGCAGGAGAGCTGAAACTAATTTAGTTCTTTTTTTTTCTGAGCTCCCTGTTAAGATCCAGCACTTTCTGTCCCTGGTAAATAACCAGGTCATGCAGTTACACCTCAAACGAGCCAGATTACATGCCTTAATGAAGAGGATGTGTGTGTGTTAAACCGTGTCCTACCTTCCACTGGGCCAGCAGCCTCTTGGCCGCCTCAGGCTGATCCTGCAGCCTCTCCTTGTTGGTGGCATCTATTAAAACATTGCAGGTGGTCTCCGCCTCCGTCAGCCAGCTCAGGAACTTCTCCAGGTCCAGGTAGAACTGGTGGAGCAGCTTCAGGCCGGCTTCCACCGCCGCCTCTCGGTCTGAAACTCTGCAGACGGGCGAGAGAGATGAGGGAAACCGAGGACTTGCCTCCAAACTCAGGCTTTATTATCAAGTTGAACCAAAATGAACCCTGGACACATGGCACTTTCACCAATTATTTTAGATTTTCACAAATTAATAGATGCACATTAATATTCTGAACAACAATTTCTCTTGTGTGGCAAACGACTGTCCTGACTTACAGAACGGTGCTAACATATTTCATGTTAGCACCTCGTTGATGTAAAGTCGTCACAAAAATTGCGTGATTTGTTATTTATCAATACCAGAACTATCTCAAACTATCCTGTTTTATTCCTGTTTTATGCCATATTTTTTGGACTAATGCAACTTGTATTCCCGAACGAAGGACGTTGGTATTGTCGCGTGTGCGGTTACCGTTTGTTGATGTGCGCCCACGTCGCCAGCATGTTGTCATTGACCTGGGTGACCTTGTGCGTGTCGTCGTTGGCGTACAGCGTCAGCAGCTTGTTGGCCAGCGCGTTGGTTTCAGCCACCTGTCCCTGCCACTGCTTCAGGTCCTTCATGAAGACCTGCAGGGGAACAGAAACCAAAGGGCTCGCTCTCGTTGCCGATGCCAACAGATCTGGGAGTGCCAGTCGTCATGCAGCCATGCAGACGGATCTCTGGTGCCCACCCTTAGATCTGCGTGTTGCTTCTTCAGTGCGTCCGCTGTGTACGTGATCTCCTGCCACGATTCCAGCCTCCCACTGGCCTGTTTGATGAGGCAGTCCACCTCCCGCTTTGCGTCCAGCCAGTTTGTGGAGTCCTGCAGCATGTTGAGGATTTGCTTGAGCCTGTCGGAGAGTTTGGTCTGAGAGTCTTCCCAGTGGGTCTGAAGCTTGTCGACTGTGGAGGAGGAAAAAACAAAACTGTGTGTTTTCCAGGTACATAGTGCCATTTCATAGCAGTCAAGTAGCTATATTGTCTCCAGTTGTTATAAAAATACCAGATACATCGAATATGACTTTAAAGATGTTTGACTTCATAGTTTAATGCCTTAAAAATTGGTCACTGCTCCTCTTTTAAACCTTTCACATTTTTACCAGCAAATTCCTGAGAAGTACTTCATATAATGAGATGTTTGCTAATTACTGCTAGCTAGTCTGAAGGAGTGGAGTGCTCTATGAGACTTGGAAGCTGCAGTTCTGAGGAGGAGCTTCGTCCTCGAAGGTGACGCCCAGTTCCACCAAGCGTTTTGCACAGCTGATTGGTTGCCACGGGAGACTAAACACTTTATTTCTTAAAAAATTGGCGTATTTCGTTAAAACGTTTTGCCACTAGGATGGGGTGCCTTTCAAGGTGACCATATAAAACTTATTAGAATATATGTAACACAAGTTTTGTGTATATTTGTAATGGAAGTGCAGCTTGTGAGGGTGTGTGTGGCTTACTGCGCTCTGTGATGGCGTTGCGCGTGTCCTGGTTGCTGGTCTTGTTCTTCAGGTTCTGTGCTGCTGTTACTTGTTTCTCCAAGAGGGGGCGCCGCTTGTCGAGCTCCTGTAGAGATCCCTGAACGCAAACAATGCACACTCAACTTCCCATTCATGCAATATTATTATTATTCAAAGCCTAAATCGTGCACACATGTGGTCACCATCACTTAGCTGGGTCATAAGTTCATGTTTGAGCTGCGCTAAGATCGTCACCTTGAGCTGGTTTATGTTTTCGTTGATATCGTCCAGGTCGGCGACCACCACCTGCTTGTTTTGCACCATGTTATCCAGCATCTTCAGCCAATCGGTGAGCTCGGCCCAGGATTTGTTGAACTGCTGGAGTGCGGCAGATTCAGGCTGGGAACTTCCTGTCAGGCCTTCATCTGGGAAGCACACGATGTTAGAAAACGTTCTAGGAAATGGAAAATTCCAGAAATTTTCCAAACATGTTCAAGGTAAGCCTCCAAAACATTTCCAGCGTCACACTTTGAAGATAAAAAAACAAGACAAATGAACTAAAAAAATAATAAATTCAATATTATATGGCATTATTTATCCCTGTTATTAATTAAGACTTGTGATGGTTTTCAACATAGTAGGGACAAACTAAACTATAAAAATGTTTTATGTTTTGAAAATTCTCTCACACATCCTTTACACCCAATTAGTCTGAGAACAAAACACACACAAAAAAAATCCCCCTATTCAAATAACTCAGCGTTTTGTACAGCTGAATGGTTGCCATGGGAGATTAAAGGATTTCTCAAAAATGTATTAAAAAAATCTAGGCAGCACTCCAGGTCTGTTTTTGCTTAGGGAATAACATTATAACAAAACTCAAAAAAGTTGGTTTTACATGATATAGATATGTGAAAATGTACAGCAATAAATAATACACCACTATATAAAGACAGAAACAGCTCTGTCGTCATATTTAGTTGCCTCATTAGCATCTTTTCTTGCATCAGATGTTTTTCTAGTGATGACTGTATATGAAATATTACGATGTTTCTGCAAAAGAAAACTTACGGGTTTTTTTGTGCTGCTGCAGCAGCTCCAGAATCACCGTCTAGTCTTCTCTTAGCTTCCCGTGTTTCCCCTACCGTCATCAACACATGGAAAACACACACACACACACATACAACTCACGTTTAGGCTAACAAAGGGTTCAAGTTCAGCTCGTACAAATACAATCAAAAGAGTTCAGTTAGTTCAGCAGGAGAGCGTGCCTTTGATCTGAGACCTATATTAATGAAGAAGGTGATCTAAAATGTGATGAAATCTTTGAAGAAAACCTGGCAGTGAGATGAAAGACGTGAATGTGATGTTGGAACAAAAGACTTTTCTTCACATCATCTTTACAGAGACGAAGCGCGCTGTGAAAACGTCAGTGTGTAGTTAAAGTTCAGCTGCTGCTCACCTTGTCCAGCCGTCCTGGAGGAGTCTCCCTGTACATCTGATTGGCTCGCTCCAAAACAAACTCCACTTCTGGCTTCTTCTGCTGAACGTCCTCAATTAGCTGTTGGACACGACGCTTTAGTATTCGTCATTTAAGTAAGAGAATTAAATATACGGTTATTATGAGTAAGAAAACAAAAGTTGCTGTACTCTGGGTGGTGACTCCTGGGGACTCTGCTCCAGCTTGGCCCTCGTGCTCGACGCCCAGGCTGACAGGTCGTCCAGCTCACCCTGGATCTTCAGGAGCTCCTTCAGCAGACCCTCGATCTCCAGCTGACGCTCAGGCAGAGCCCTAGACACCTAAAGGAAAGAAATAAAGAAAAGGTACTCCCCCTTTGTAATGAAAGTAGAAGCGCAAGCATGGGAGTGGAGGGGTAATGATGTGGGCTTGTTAAGATTCGACCACAACAGCTCTGTCTTCTGTCCAACCAACGTCATTAATGGGTCAATTAACCCATACACAGCAAAGACTTTACAAGAGACTGGCTGTGATAGAAAATAATCTATCTACAGCATTTCAACCTCCTTGAAATGCCAAAGATCAGAGAGAAGGATGAAGTTAAAACCGTCTCATCCATTGATCAAAATTAGCAAGGCTTGCATCCCCTACTCCAACATCTCTCTGCCTGGTTTATAGTGGATTGGCAAAAGCAAGTGAGGTGGATTAGCATTTGCCAGCAGCAACTGAAGGAGTCATCCAGAACATGTTAGTATGGATTATTGTCTCTGCTGCCTGAAAACTGAGTCGTTAGCATGATGATCATACAGCAACAGATCACACAACATTTAGTATTCTGAATTGAACTGATGGTTTGTAACTCCACGTCCCCACAGCTCAGTGACATCAGTAGTGGTAGTTGCTTACCTGAGCCCAGCGAGTGTTGATGCCCCTGATGTCTTTGTGCTTGTCAGCAGGAAGAAGGGTTAGCATCTTCTGCTTGGCGTTCAGATTCTCCACTGCAGACTTCTTCACGGGAAGCTCCTCCACACGCGTCTTAGACAGATAACGGAAAATATTAATTTAATGCGACTTTACCAGCTCCTAATGGCCAGAATCTTTGCCTCTGCAACGCAATAGAGATTCATGCCTTATTCTACTGAACAGTCCAGTGTGTGTCAGTACTCTGTAAAAGAAGGTTTCTGCTGTCAGTTGGACTTTGAAAAGCGGAAAGCGGGGGGATTAGGATGGGGTTTTAGGTGTTATCCCGTCAGACAGTCAGTTCCCGAAACTACACACACAAAAAATCCTCTTAAAAGCGCATACGGGGTCAGTGCAACCCGCACAGGGTAAAAAACTTGTGAAGTATAAATGATTCCATTTCTTAAGAAGAAGGGCTAAAGCTTTGTTGACCATAATAACCTTCAAACAAGGGAGCAAATAATCATTCTTTACATCATCCCCATTTTTTTTTACCATACCTGGACTTTGCTCAAAGTGTCCCTGATGTGCTGTGGTTCTGGGGGGTGCAGAGGGATGGCCAGCACACCCTCCGCTTTATCCAGCCAGCCCAGCATCGAGCCCATGTCCTCCTCAAACTCTGCTCCAGCTGTTCGCGCCTCGGCAGACCTGCAGACACAAGGTCTCCTCTTAGTAGTGGCACGTTGTTGGACATGGTGATCGTCAAATCACAGCTGTGAGGTTGGATGGGGGCCCGCCCACCTCCTCTTATGCTCCCTGAGCTCCTGGCAGACGTTGGCCCAGCGAGTGTTGAGTAGTTTAAGCTGCGACCGGAGGCGTAAGGCATCATCTGGTGCGCTCATCTGGCTGATGTCTTCTCCTGCAGAGTTCACTCTGCCCAACACCACCTCCTGGTGAGGTATGTCGTCCACCAGGTCCTGTGCAGACACACACAGACACACACACACCTGCCTCACTATTTGCACACGGACAGGTCTTCATGGGTAATACTGTCTTCGTAGGTTTCATCCTCACAGAAAGGATGCTCAATATTAAAATACATTGTTATCCTGTACATCTTAATATGTTTTTGTTTTGATGTAATTGACAAATAGGGAAGAGGAGGATCGGGTGTTACCCTGAGTTGCTGTCTGTGTGCTGCCGGCTCACTCTCAGACAGTTTCAACGTGCTCTCAGCGTTGCTCAGCCACTCCTCCACTTCCCTCTGGTCCGAGACAAACCTCTGCCACTTGGAGTTACAGTCCTTCCAACGCCTTGACAAAGACAGATCAGATATTTCTACATGTGGCAAACAATGAGTACAAAAATCAATCAGTTATAAGGTTTAACACCCTGGGACGTAACAGAAATCCCAAAGCCGTTTTGTAGCTTCTAGAACCACAACAACCAAAATATAAAGAAATCTTCTGAATGTTCCTCTCCAATTCTTTTACTTCAGTCTGTCTTTGTAGAGCTTGTTTAGTTTGTCCCAGTTGTTGTTGAGTAGGGAAGCCGTCTCCTGAACCCTGTGACCTTCCAAAGGTCGAGAACCCGTCGCCATCTCTTCTCTCCGGGCCAGAGCTCCTTCCACCGGGCCCTGCAGCTTGTCTATGTTCTCCTTTACGTCCTGCATGCGAGGAAGTGCACAAAAGACAATTGTTCAGAAGCAGGAAAACTAAAGAATATCTGTTTATAGTCAAAACCTGATGTTATTGGCAACCTTTGAGGATAACATAAACATGTCTTGTATCACAGTCAAGGTAAATAAAACTATAGTTTTAAAAAAAGGATTAAGGCTTCCACATATTAAGGCATGCATCCATTGTCTCTGCCAATTTTTTTTTATTTCCCACAATTTCAGCCCTGGACACAATGGCCAAGGAGAAGAAAATTATTTGCTGTTTAGATTAAGTTAAACAAGGTACCCTAAATATTCTGTTTTCTAATACCTTCTGTCAAAACAATCTTCAAAATTTGAGTTTAAATGTTAAAAAAAAGAGGTAACGTGCCAAAGGTGCGTCACCGTGTGGTTGAGCAACACCGTGGCTGTGTAATGAGAGGATAATCCAAATCTCTCTGCATAGCCTCTACAACCGCAGAGTTCACAGGAGAACTACCTCAAGGACTCCACACTCCCACAGCAGGAACTGTTCACACTTTCACTCTCCTCCCAGAGGCACCAAAAGTGAGAAATGGAGAATTTCTAGAGTTAAGAATTCAACTAGACCTGAAATACTTCCAGATATGATTTATTTGAAGGACAAGTGGATGCATAAAGTTTTCTTTCTATGCCATTTTTTACTGTTGGCATTCACTGCAGAAAGAAAAACATATTTTCTTTACTGATTTATTTCAATGTTGCCTCAACAGGCCAGGTTCAGGTTCGGATTCAGGGTGTGATGGCAAATATTTAGCCACAGGCGATCTGGGATTGGTTGGGACTGGTAACATTGGGGGCCTTCTACTAGAAACCTGACAGTCAGTCTAAGCTTCAATCTAGTAAATAAAAAAAAATATCCATAAACATCACTTACGCTTTGTGAGAATGCTTGCCTTGAGGTTGAGAGGCAGAAAACAACGTAGTGTATTTTGACAGGTTTTGAACTCTGCCGCGATTTGAGGAAAAATCGACATATGCACCCATCCAGGTACAAAAATCATGAATTAGGATCTGAATTTCAAAGTTTATTTTTCAGATGTGCAAGGTTTCTGTTTTATAATGATCATATATATTGTTGCCAATTTACTGTTTTTTGGCCCAAAAATATGTTGGACTCAAAATCAGTATCTAGAAGTGAGCATGGAAGAATAAATGAGTGGATACATCAAGGACATGATTGAATTAAACATTAAACAAAAGCATTTTTTCTTCCTTTATCTCTTGAGCAGAATCAGCCTTTTTGTGGGAAGCCAGAAGGATGATATTAAAATTGAATGTGTTGACTTTGAACAATACGGCGCACTGTTACAGATGAGATATGATATCGCAAAAAGCAACAAAGAGTCATTGTGAAAACTATGTAGCAGAAAATACACTGAGGTCAAATGAAAAACAGACAAAACAAATCCCATTTTTGTGGTGGGTTAGAAAAGTATTAGTAGATGGATATCTAAAAGATTTTAGAATTTTGATATAAAACCTCAGAATATGTTAGAAATGTCATGTTTTTTCACTGCTATATACAATAAGTATGCTATTCTAAAATCTCAAAGCTATGAGATTTTAGAATCTCATAGCTTCTATTTGTATTACAAATACGTATATTTGTAATACATATTACAAATATGTATTTTTAGTCAAAAGGGTTAATTTTAAAGAATTAAAAAAAAAAAGTTTTTAAACCTCCTAAAGTATACCTGGAGAGAAAATAAAACATTTGTTGAAATCGTTGAATATTTTTTGACTTGATCTTTAGTCTGAAACAAATATGTAATTTTTTTAAAAGATCCAAAGGGAAATTAAAACTTTTCCAAGGCCGTTTTAATAGATGGAAGAACACAATCGGATAGACGAAGCATTTTATGCAGGCCTTTCATTAAAAGAAAAAAAAGAAAAAAAAGAAAAAAAAGAAAGTGAATGTGTATTGTTAACCCTCTGAAAAATGCAGCTGATATTTTATTTTTCCCCAACTCGGTGGCAGTGCTGACCTTCAGGCAGTGCTCTTGCTGTGGCAGGTTATAATACGCTGCAGGCCAGTATTCAGGAGAGTTCAGCTTGAAGTCCGTCTCTGACACCGAACGCAGCAGCGCCTGGAGCTCTGTCAGGTACTCCTGATTCCACACACACACACGCAAACACACACACACACACACACACACACAGGCAACAGTACACACAGCACAGAAATGTTACGACTCCAAAAATAGATAAATATGTTGCGTCGTGTTTGGTATTCTCTGGGCAGGTAACGGCTGACATTTTCATCTGGGACCTCATTCAGTCCACATTTAATCACATGTGGAGCTACCAGAATGCATATTTTTGTTGCTTATAATAGAAGTTTACTAATAATCATTGGTGGTTGTCGAATGATTGGGGAGCCCCTCCTTCTGCAATCTTTCCCGACCAATCAGAATGCAGGAACTGATCTCAAACAAAACTTGTCTTCCTGTTTCAGAAGCAGGCAGGGACCACGCTCAACACACGAGGGCGCCCACTCTCCATAGAAAACACAGGAATAAAGTCAATAGGAAACTTGTTGATATTTCAAAGGAGAATTTTTTTTTTAGTTGCTCTTGCACACCCCTTCTTTCTATTGCCACCCTGGGCAACTGCCCAAATGGCCCATATCAAAAACTACCACTGTTCATAAGAAGAAGGAATTTTTATAGGAACTGAATGTGAAGCCCTAGATTGAGATGTCATCATTTTTCTGTTTTATATAGTTTATCACACCTTTAATGTATTCAAATTACTACAACTAAAATGGAAATCTACTTTTATCTATTTTTTTTTCTCCAGAAAGACACACAAAGCTTGTTGCTACAGCAAAGAGAAACTGGGATGTAAACACTCGCCTGTGTTCGTCTCACCTCATTGTTATGCTCTCATCGCAGGCCAAGCAGTTGCCCTCCAATTAAAAGAGACTTTTTAATCAGGCCCAGATGAAACAGTCATAATGGCGTTATTAGTGACCTCGCACTGAGTTGATTGCTGCCGAATGCGAACGTGTGAGACTGAGCAGACGGATCAGTCCCAATCATCAAACATACTTTTCAAGAACAAGACTAATTTCTTTTTTTTTCTTTTCATATTTGTGTTTATTTCTGTCTGTTTTTCAAATGATGCGGTCAGACGTTTCCCTTTTGTTTTCTTAAGATAATTAGTTCATTTCCTGATGGATTTCTCGAGATAACAAGTCAATCTCAATTTTTTCCAAGATTAACTCGTTCTCTAAAGAAAACCATGAAATTAACTCGTCATCTCAAGAAAACAGGTAATTAGCTCGTTATCTCAAAGAAACTATGAGAAAATGGAAAATTAACTCATCGAGAAAACCATTGGAAAAATAAGTCGCCCCGAGAAAACCATCAGGTAATAATCACATTTTCTAAAGAAAATGGGAAATTAGCTTATCTCCAAAAAAAAAAAAAAACAAAAAAAAAACTATCAGGAAATTAAATCGTTATCTCGAGAAAACAATCGGGAAAAATTATATACCAGTCAAGTACAACCACTAACGGCTTCTGACTAACGGCATTTAAATTGAATTGTAGAAATAAATGTACTTTTCAATTATACTAAAATTTAAATGCACCTATAAATGTTACTTAATGAACTTAAACAAAAAGTAGGAAAATAACGCTGATTCATCGGTGATGGGGTGAATCAGCAAATTACTTTTGGTAATCCTGTCTGACGTAAAACAAGAGACATTTGGTTTTATTGAACTTTAGAAATAAAGTGAGAAATAAAGTTGAATGTGTCTTTATATTCAACGTATGTAAAATTTGTAGTTTCGACTGCAAATTCAGTGGGATTTAACTTGCTGTCGTAGTCTGTGCAGTTAAATCAGAGTTTTACAGAAAAATGGTTCTTAATAGAACAGGTTCTGAACATTATTGTTACTCAAGGTATCTACAACACTGACTATAAAATTTATGCAGCAAATAATAATGTAGCATTCTTTGTCACTCAGGTAAATATAATCTAGGTTTTATTGAGAGAGGTGAAGTGAATGACGAGAGTTCACATCCTCAGATTCTCTGTTTGCTAGAACATGTTTCTGCTGAAAGCTTCTGTCACATTTGGTTTCAATATGGTTCAAAACTCACTTTTAACTTCTAAATTATCGTCAACACACATAAACTTGACTTAGATCAGCATCTAATGCTCCTCTGAAATTTAAACAATTAAGGATGAAGATGAATAAAGTTTAACTTTTTATCATTAGTATTGTTGTGTTATTCAGTTTTTGATCTAAATTAATCAAAGTTTTTGCTAATTTCACCCTTCGTGAAGTTTTAAAATGATTGAAATCATTGTGACAGATGCACAAATGTCTAGTACTTGCAGGTGCACCTTAATAAACCAGAATATCATCCAAATATTTACTACAGCCAATGGAAACCCCCAAATGATGGAAAGTTGAGTTGAAGGAAGACGGTGCAGAATTAAACATGGAAGACAAAATGGAATGGAAGTGAACTAAAGCATGTAGACAAGAACTGGAACTGGGCCGTTCCTCGTTTTCAGTCACCATCCAATCAGAAATGGATTCAGAAGAAATCAGTTTACTCAACTGACTTCATCTTTCACTTTTTAAATCGAATTAATGAAGTAAATTCATCAGTATGCTGATTCATTACGATGCACCAGTGTTTATGGATCAGTAACAAAGGCCCAAAATAATTCAGGCCAGCAGCACACTACAACATGGTTTCTTGTATTATTTTTCTCTAACAGTGTTTGTGATGATGAAAGAGCAGAGCAGGTGGTGATGATGAGTGGAGGAAGCAGGCCGTTGTGTAGATTAAATTATAATCCTTCATTCTTCAGGATATATCTTTACAAATATACAGCAAACTCAGTTTTACTCAGTAAATCTCAACCTCCTGGTTCCAACTCATCATTTGACCAGTTTTGCTCCTTTTTTTAGGCCCGAGCAGCGAAAGCGCTGCGAAGGCCTATTGTTTTTGTAAAAAAATATATATATATATATATTTTTTTGGTAACTTGGACTGAAAACACACCTGGGCTGAATTTATTTGCATCAAAACCACTGTGGGAAAATGGACAGTAGAAGAAGAGTGTGATTCATGAGTAAAACAAATGATATCCGATAATGTTTGGACTCTAAGGCTGTTTTGAAGCAGGCAGAGCAGTTTTGTATCTTGCTGTAGCAGTTGCATGTCTCCATTTCTGATGACTGTGGACCAATTGGAGTGAGACATTACACTTGGCTCCATGGTTGTAAATAAAAGTGACAACTCACACCTGGTTCCATGTTAACATGACAAGGAAAACAGAAGCTAATAATGTTAGGGAGACTTGCTAGCTTAGTACTGCTTTAGCCATCCTCAAGATTTTCTCATTGTTTGAATTCCACATTGGTAGCTCCTGTTTTCCTTGTCACGTTAGCATGGAACCAGGTGTGAGTTGTCACATTTATTTGCAAAAGTTTGCAATAAACCTCCTAAAGTTTTCTATTTTTCGTCAAAGTGAGGTCTGTGTTGTAATGCTAACCCCCCGGTTGCTAAAGAGTGAAGCGTTCTCGGCCCTTCTTAGAAAGGTGTGAACATTAAACTTGACACCCTGTAATCACTATGTTTGAAACTCAAATTTTGAAGTAAGAGAGGAAGTTGTAGAGTCGCCCTGATGTGTTAACGAACTCGACTAAAAGACTTCTCTTCAGGTTGGTTGACAACTCTTGGTTACAAAAGTTTTTTAAAAACCTGCCAGCACTAAAAACTGTTTGTGGTAGAATTTTGATTACATAAATGGGCTGTAGGCACCGTATGAATACTGCTACTTGTTAACTGTTAGCTAAAAAGCACACTTAAGTTAGCATTTGCTTCTCAGCTTGCTATAAATGCTAATATTTTGTTGTTTTTTCTTTCCATCGAGTCAGGTCTAGCATCAGAAACACTTATTTTCTATACATTTCTTAGTGTCTTAAATAAAATGAAGCACACTGATCTTCCTTTAAAGTTACTGTCCAAGTGTCCTCAAGCAGTCCATTTAGGTAAGAAAATATCTACAATTGTGCTTCTCACAGGGTTCCTACACATTAGTTGAATTTCATACTTTTACTTTTACTTTATTTTTCTCAGTGTGAGGTAATTTGTCGTCTTTTTGTAGAGCAAAGTTATGCAAGTTCAATTTGGACTAATGGTAGATATTTCTAAAATGGTCAGATTAGAAAAATGGAAGCTGGAAAAAAAAGATGGCTGGATGGATGGATGTATACATGAACAGATGATACGCTCAGTTTGGGAATACAAATATATTTCCAAACTCTGTTATCCTTCCCATACTTATCCAGACTTGGAAAATCATTTTCCCACATGCAGTGTAGGAACCCTGAACTCAGAGAATACATGGAATCTTCCCATTCAGTTGGGTTTTAGTCCAAGTACAAAACCCCCCCACACCCAGTGGGGGCGAAGGGCATGTGGAGGATGGATGGGTGTTTGTGTCTCACGAAAAAGCATACATCTTCAGTGGCTGGGAGATCGCCGGACTGCCGACGACATGATTAGTGGAGAGGAAGGCGGGCATGCGTGACACAAAGCCAGACACAGCAACCACTGAGAGTGAGACATGCGAGTGTTCCTCTCAGACACACGCAAGACACGTAAATAAGAATGGCAGCAAAGAAACACAAGAAAAGCAAACTGGAAGTTCATTATTTGAATTAATGCTCTGATAGTAGTTGTTTAGTATCAATTTTAGGATAATGTTTTTCTGAAGACTTTCATTGGATATAATTTGATTTTTATTACAAGCAGTATTTCATAAGACCTCTTATTAGTTTAGTATAGATTATTAGACTTTGCCCCTTTTTTCTATTAAAGCTGCAGAACACCTTTTCCCCTTTGGCTCAAGGCTGTCCTGCTTTCCAAAGAACTGAGATAATGAAACTGTGCTTGTGTTACTTTATACAACACTTTTTAAGCTTTAATCTTCTTTGTTTGTTTCTTAGAAAGTCGTTTGCATAAGTCGAGCTTCAAATCCTATTTATGGCTCACCAATATTCTCGAGAATTATCTATCTGGGTCAGGACAAAGAAAATGTCTTTTTATTTATTGTGTGTCACTACATACCCTGCAAAAGTAAAACTTTGTTGAAAAGAGAGTAAGAAGGCTACATGAGACATAGGCAGAATTTTAGAAGAACTGTTCATTTCAAGTAAGCCATTCATTGTCTACAGATATCTAGAAATTGGAAAACTGCTGAAAACTACAAACCAAGTTGAATACCAATAAGCCACTCTTGAATTAGCATTTGTTCTGCTCACGGACTAGTTTTGCTAGCATAGTAACACAAGCTAGCACAAGCTGTAGCTTCCTTTTTACCACAGTAAAAAAAACAAATAAAAATGATCATACAGTCTGCAGACATCTGGTTTAGGGACCTCAGAGATTGGAAAACTGCTGAAAATTACAAACTAACCAATAAGCCATCAGAAATTAGCAATTGTTCTGCTCACCGACTAGACATGCTAGCATAGCAACAAAAACTATCAACATGTCAGGCTGTAGCTTTCTTTTTGCCATAGTAAAGAAACTAGCAATAAGTTTACAGATATGAATTAGATAACAGGAGTAAGACTCAACTTACCCTAATCAAATTAACCCTTTATAATTTCTTAAAGACCTGCAGGGCATCCATGTTGAATTTAATTTTAAGTTTGTTAATTTTTTGTTGTTAAAAGTGAGTTTGGGAGGCATGGTGACATTTAAACTTAATCCTAACTAGTTAATCCTAACTATATCAGTATTTTAAATGGTTTAAGGTTGAACTATCTAGAAAATACACGACAGTCATTCTACACTGGAACTCAACAGAACATGTTCAGTCATGTTTGACTAAGTTTTCAAGCTTCTTTTTAAAAAAACTCTAGATTCATGCTTTCACTGAAAACACACTGGTTTTTAAAAGGTTGCATCCTTAAAGAGTTAGTTTTCTGAGCTTATCTCATCAGTAAGTTTTGTTAGTATTACAAATGTACAAGTAGTGCCTATTGAGACTCACACATCGTCTTTTGAAGGGTATGAACTTGCCCTCCACCTCAACCCAGCGGGTGTTGAGCTGGAGTTGGCGGGGCTCCACTAGATTGGCGGCTCCAGCCTGTGAGAGCTGATTGGCTAAGCCCTGCACCTCCTTAAGCTCCTCCTTCTTCTTGTCGAACTCTGAGCCAATTTCCTATTGGACAGAATCAACCGAAAGGTCACTGGCCATTGGCTAGGACCCGGTTGGGTTAAGCACAAAGAGGCATGTGGATGTGCTCAAAACAAACAAACAAAAAAAGACCAAAACACACATTTACGCACAAACACCGACTCACAAAGCGACATTACAGAATTGGAAAATAAAACCTTCGTAGAAAAAGGAAGTACATTTATTTAGCCACTAGCACAAACTCACAACACGTTAAATAAAAGGAGAAAATATCATGTTTGCCAGCATCCAACATAAATAGATATGTAATATAGATCCAGAAAAATTGATAATTATCGATTAAAAACAAAAACACTGCCTTAAGTCTTTATTTTCACAAAGAAAGTACAATCGCTGGCCAGTACAGATCGGGGATGAGTGCTGTATGAGCGGCTCAGCAGAAGCAAGAAGCTGTATGGACAGGTCTGAAGAACAGATAGATGGACAGACACACAGACAGGCATTGAGGGAAATCTCAGTTGTGGAAATGACAGGTGAGTCTACGGCAAGCGGGTGACACTTCCGCTTAGCGAAATGTCATAGTGATCGTCTGAAAGGGAAAGACACATATACAGAGTCAGATGAAGGAAGGCGCTGGAAAACCGGCTAAGTCCAAGCTTCGTCTCTCACAAAGCGCCTGGGTTTGATTTAAAAACATTGAATCTGATTTAGCAGCAAAGCAACTCAGACATTGCTGTGAACGGCATTGGCCTGAATTCTGAGAAAAAACAATCAGTTGTGAGGAAAAAAATGCCATGTAGTACATAAACTTTCCCAGATCAAAAGCGGATCGAAACTATTTAAATCAGCCAAATGCCACCACTTTTTAACATCAGCATGTTAGACATGAGTCTTATTAAATTCTCATGCTACGATAACCAGAATCTGAAATAAGAATTTATCAAAGTAACAAACTGGTTTGACTTATAAGCAACCAGAAACAATGATCTAATTAGAAGAACTTTAAAGAGTAGTTTTTAATTCTCAGTTCATCTTTTCTCATGGCTGTAGCTGTATAAAGACTTCATCACAAAGCTGAAAAAGAGTAGAATGGAGAGAAACAGGAAAAGAAAACAGCTGTATACTTTTGATAGATTAGTGATAAAATGTTAAAGAAATTTGGGACATGACATGAGAAGAAGAGTTGGAGAAAGAACCAAACTCAAGGTGAAGCTTTATGATAAAAGAAAAATGTTGAAACGAACAAAAATCTACAAAGTGTACAAGTGTGTGTACGGTTCTGAACGTGCTTTCACCTTGACCCGCTCTCCCTTGGGTGGGTCAGGAAGTTGGTCCACACTGCGCTGGATGTCGTCCAGCCAGGCCATCAGGTCATGGGATTTCCTTCTGTACTGGTACCACTGGGGAGCGATGGCCAGAGCCTTTCTATTCCTCAGGATACGCAGGTCCTAAACACACACACACCCACACACCCACACACACACACACACACACACACACACACACACACACACACCCACACACATGCACACGCACACAGAAAAACACCAGCCTTTTCATTAGGAACAGTTTTATACGACTCTGGCCTCAGAAATGTGTCTTTACAATGAAAAACTACAAGTCAACCAGCTGAAAGACATTTAATTGAAATGCCTCTCAGAGCTTTGCAACACCAGAGTCTTTACCCGGAGCCTTTTCTGAAAGAGTCATTTGTCAGTGACACCAACCTCAAGGGTCCCTTCTACTTTTATTAGAGCTGTCACACTAACCATCGATAAACTTGAGGAAATGCCTTCAGTTTAAGGCAAACTTTAATGGCCATCCATACAGGCCTATAGCGACGGATCAGACTCAAAGATCAAGAGTTAATGGGGCACCAATAGCACACCAGAGGGCAGCCTTTGGTCCAAGTCAACTGCTTTGGTAAACACTAGCAACTCTTGACGGTTGATTTTATTTACTAGCAGCCATCTGCACCTGCAAGCAGTACTTGTAGCTTAGCATTTCCTCTTAAGCTGTAGCCTTCAAAATGAGTAATTCTGTTATATACCGCCTAGGTTCTAGAAAATACCTAAGCAATTTCAGGCACTTGACTTGAAATCTTATGCAGCTATTACTACTACTTTCTCAAATCTTATTAGGTAGTTTCCTGGATTTAAGAGGTTACATACCAGAAATTTCTGGGGCTACAAAAAGGTCTCAAAAGTACAGGTGAATTGGAGAAACGTTCTGGAATGCAACCACTGAGTTCTGGGAATGTATCTGCTATGTTCCAGAAAAGTATCCTCTAGTTATGAGAATGTAATCTCCATAAAAGTATCTTTGCAGTTCAGGAAAGTACATTGTAAGTTCTGAAATTGGATCTCAAGTTCTAGAAAAGTAACTTCTCGGTTTGAGGGAAAGATCCTGCTAAGATTTAAAAAATTACTTTATCAATTCCAAAAAGCACTAGGTAAGTTACAAAGAATAACTGAGTTCTGGGAAGGAACCGGAAAGTATTATTGGAAAGGGTTTAAAGGTTCTGGTAAATCACAGTTAATAAAAAATTCCAAGTTCAGAGAAACAACCTGGTGAGTTCGGGGGAAGTAATCTCCACATTCCAGTAAAGCAACTTTTTAGTTCAGAGAAAGATCCGGTAAGTTCTATGAAAATTCCATTCGAAGGCTTCATAATTTTGACAAATATTTGGTAAATTCTGAAAATCAATCTCTAATTGAAGGCAAAGCACAGGTGGTGTCACGTGTTTTAAGGGGTGTGTTACCTTTACAGTGTTGTATTTGCTGTTGAGCTGGTTGTGTTTCTGTCTTATCTGCTCTCGCTTGTCTCGATCTGGGGCTCTCTTTTGCAGGTTCTCTCCTTTCAACAGCAACTCTTGCACTGCACCCTCTTCGCAATTCTACACACAAACACATGTTGCCTTTAATGTGAACATACAACACATTGGCAGCGGCTGAAAGTGGCAGAAAGGAACCTTGTCCTCCTGGAAGTCCTCCTCCTTTAGGTTCTCTCCCTGTTTGGCTTCCTCCTCCAGCAGTTCAAGCCAGACCCGTACTTCGCTGTGGTACTGTTCAAGCTCCCTGGCTGACACTGCTGTCTGTAGAAGCAGATGTAGTGAGTTTGAAGTAAAATCAACTGATATGAACATTGCTGGGAAGCTTTAAGGTCAGCGGTGCTTTTTAAAGGACCGCACAATAGTCCGTACCAAACCAGAGGCGATCCGTTGAGAGATGATGTCGAACCTCTGGTTGAGCTGCTCCATTCTAGGTCCTACTTGGGCCTGGCAGTTCTCTCCTCTGGTGGACATGAGTTCCTGTGCCAGTTCTCTAACTTCTCCCATCTTCCCTTTGGTCAGCTCCAGCTCAGCACGCAACACCTGCAGGAGGCAAACAGCCGGTCACCCTTCCACACAAGACATTAGCTGGTCACGGAAATGACTTCCACTTTAGTTCATGCTGTCATTGCCTGAACAAGTTCTACACTGACATCGACCTAATTTCATAGCTAGGACATCTTCAGGAGACACTTAGACTTTCTTTGCTTTCTTCACAATTATCAAACCTCTGGTCTTAAAGTTCTTGATGATTCAATAAAAGGCTGATTTGGATTGTTTTCAGCAAATATCATTTGCTCGATGGCAAAAACGCCATCTTTTGACACAAAGATGGTTTCCCTTGGGGGTAACCATGGTCACCACTCCCCTTCAATTCAATCATCTTCCCAACTTTCCCCTGAGTTAATATTAAGATCATTAAAATGACCCTTGCAGGTCATTTTCTAGTAGAAGGTGCAAATGAGTTTTTTTATTACTGTAATTTTCAGTAATCTTTACTAATTATGCAATTAGCTGCATTTTAGCTGATCACATTTCATAACCCACACTCAATCCAAATGTCCCAAATGGAAGATAAAGTAGGATTTGTAAAAATAAGATTTCTTTCAGTCCTAAAAGTTTTCCAAGACTACATATGACATAAAGAATAGGGTGTCGGATGGATGGGGGCGGGATTTAAAGATTACAACCTTCAGCACAGCATCATTGGGACCCTGATTGTCTATTTCGTCCATCTTTTTCTCTGCTCCGTCAATCCATTCATTCACTTCCTTAATCTCTCCGTCTAACTTTTGCATCTGCTGCTGGTAATCCTGAAGAGATGAAAAAACAGGAAAACATATGGGAACTTTTGACTTGCCCATCAGTGTCGCAACAATAATGACAATAATGTTGTGGATTATGTGTTTTATTTCTGACCAGCAGCAGGTTGAGCCATTCCTCTGCCCTGGATGTTACAGCGATCCAGTTGCAGTGCAACAGGCTGACTTTGTCGTCCACTAAGCCTCCGTTGCCCTTCAACACCGCCTTGAGGGCCTCTGCGAGGTCCACCACCGCCTGCAGCTGGGGCTGATGCCTCTCGATGTCACTGTGGACGGACTGAGAGGGCGAGATGAAGGAGAGAGTCAGCGTCCGTTTTCGTTTCCGTAACGCTGCTCCGCGTCTAGCGTACCTGCGCCCAGGCGACCTCAGCCTCCAGGTCACCGGGCATTCCCTCCACGGCGGAGCGCTTGGTCAGCTCGGCGTCGGTAGCAGCGAGCCACTCCGTCAGCCCGTTCAGCTCCTTACGCAACTTCCTGGACAACTTCAGACTCTTCTCCAGCTCCAATTTGCTCTCAGTCACCTGAAAAGTCAGGAAAAAAAGGAACGGTATTGACCAGAGTGAAGTTGTGACGTCGCTCAGGTGAAATGTTCTTCTTCAGAGTTCCTGGACTGTGTTTCTCTTTGAAAGTGTGTGTGTGCAGACCTGCGATCCCAGCTGGTTGTAAAGCAGTTTCAGGGCGGTCACCCTGTCGTCCAGCTCTTTGGGTTGCTCCGTCTGCTGCCTCTGGACGATCTGTCTCCCTGTTTTAATCACCGTCTCCACCTCCCCCTTCACTTCGCTCAGGGTCTTGTACAGTTTCTGTTTCGGCGAAACAAAATGAGCTGAAGACGGCCTCTCTGTCAGCTCACCGATCCGTCCAGGTCGCTACCCACCATGCACTGGTCCAGCTGTGACTGCACCACGTCCTGCTCCACGCTGCGGATGTCCAGCAAGCCCACCTGGCTTTTGACCCCGGCCAGCACGCGCTCGCATTCGGCCAGGCGGGAGTCGAAGTTGGCCGGCTTCTGGAAGAAGCGGAACTTGGTCCCGACGTCGCCGAGCATTTTCTAGGAAAACACACAGGGACGGCATGTGCATGAAATCAAACGCACCTTTTAAACCAATGCAACCGAAGCTTTGATATTTTTTTTTTTACATTATGTGACTCTGAATATGATTTGCGACATGTTTGTAATTTTACAAAACGACAAGCTGGAATGAAATTACGGGATGATGAACTCATGGATTTATGAGACTGTAGTTCATTAAGTGTTTTCAAAAAAATGATGAGGAAGAAAATATTTGATTTAACTTCAAATTATGCTGGATTTGAATTTTTTTATCTCCCGTTATTGTTCTGTTTAAGGATTTTTATCAGTCTTATTTACAAAATATTCATTAATATGTAGATCTAGACGTCTTGCATCAGTTACACAGATTATGTCACCTAACATTTACCAGTTTATAGTTTCATTTTCCTCTGCTCTGCTCACAAAAACTGTATTTTAATGTGGCTAAAGTTCCACCCAGCTGCTCTCATTAACATATTTTTCAGAGTTTGAAATGTTCATTAAAAGTTTGTCCATTAAGATTGTATTTTTATTTGCATTCACTCTTAAGGCACTTCACTTCTCTGGACTAAAATCCTGATTCTAAACAGGTAAGCTAACAAAATGTTCACTAAACAATTCACCGTATAGAGAGACAAACATTTTATAATTACAATAGTAACATTTTATTTATGATACCCTTTACATCTTGAGAATAAAGGTAAATAAATAACAGGTCTCTGTCAGATCTACTTGAGCATAACAGCCTAAACCACAAATTCACACAACAGTCACCATGCGCTCACCTGTTGGGGTAAATATTATATTTTTCTTCTGCATAAATGAACTAGATTTTACCCTGACTGTTTCAAACGTTCAATCTTTCATTCTTTTTCAAAAGGATTGATGTTTAATGACAGGGAGAGCTACACTCAGCTCAAGTTAAGGTTGGAACAAAACCAAAGCATCATTAAATTTCCAAGTTAAATTTCCCTGGAAAGTGAACCTGCCTCCAACAGCATGTCTTTCAGGCTTGCCTTGCGTTTAGCTTTAGCTTCATCTAATTTCCTACCAACCCTGTCCAGCTTCTTTGTACCTACAGATGAAAAACATTCCCACACTAAGATGGTGCCAAACTAAAACCTCTCAGGTCTTCACAGAAAAGCTGAAATTACACTAAGACTAAACTGGACTGCTTACTGAATAAAGTCAATTGTAGTGGAATTTAGTGGTAAATGTACCCCTACTTTTTATTTGCTAAAAATAAGTTAAAATCATGAAACTTTATCATGATTCAACTTCATAATTATCCACTTATTGGGATCTATCACAGAAAATCCCAATAAAATCCAGTGAATCTGTTGATGTAAGATAAAAGAACATGAGTAAAATTTCAAGGATAGCAGAATAAAATTGATGCCAAAATCATTTTGCAAATACTTTAGAGAAAAATTAACTTCACATAAATGTAATTATTTGTTTGTGTTTACCTGAGTCAGGTCTATCTGTCCCATGATCCTGTGCGAAGGCTCCTTATCCTGGTTCTTCTTCCTCATGTCTGCCAGAGCCGCTTCATGGCCGTTCAGCTCTGACTGGATTTTCTGTCACACACATAAACTCATCCATAGCAACAAAGTACAAACCAGTCAAACGCAAGTGAAGGCACTTGAGTTTAAATAGCTTGTTAGACTACTGTCCCTGGCTGACCACTAGAGGGCAGAATACACTCAGGGAAACGGAACGGTGAAACCCTTCAAGTTCAACCCATGGATAAATATTTGCTTTCTTCACATTCAACCTCCTTCTTTTTAAGATATGAGTTGCTCAGAAATCAGACTCCCATTTGCTAAATGAATTCAGTCATTTCTCCTCTTCCTCGCTGAGTGTTTGTGTGAGCGACTGAAATGTCATCCTGGCACACGCTCTCCCGCTCTGTCACTTCGCCACGGCGGCTGCAGGTCATTACTCCATGATCTATTGTCTGATTAGTTCAGACGGTGTGTGTGTGTATGCATGTATGTGTTTGAGAGGAGAGGAAGAGAGGGGCAAGTAGCAGATGTTGGGAGAAGACACAATGAGGCAGGGGCAGTGTATCTTCATCAGCCGCAGCTTTAATTAGGACCTTGGAGTGGGAATGGAGAATTTCCCAGCTTCTCCCTGGGGCCTCTGGGAAAACTCAAGTCTGAAGGGTGCCAAGCAACGACTGAGCCTTGTTCTTGTTATATTACTGAAAACTTTAAAACATTACAAGCTAAAAAAAATAAAATACATAAATTTAAAAAATAATTTACTGACCGCTCTTTTCTCCTTTCATTTCACCTTGTAGCATTACAAAACACAGAAGCTGACCTTGAATGTTGTTACTGATGGCCGCTTTAATATTCTGGTCAGGACTGTGGAAAAATACCTTCATGTTACTTTAGGTTGACTTAAATCATATGACCGAGCTGTCTGAATGTAACAATTAGAACAGTAATAAACTGCTAATGCATGAGAATATATAGAAAGTAAAAATCTTTTTCTGCTACGGTTGAAAGTAAATCAGTAGAATGTCACCTTGTTCCCACTTTACTGGGAATTTTTTAGTGCAGGTCTCACACCATAAATTAGGAATCCACTGGTTCTGGAGACTTAAATTCCCTTACCTCTGGAAAATATTTCTAAAAAATAGAATCCATATTTCTTTAAGGTTTATCTAATGTAGATGCAGAAAAAAAAGAAGTTCTACTTGTACATGCCGAGTCAGTGAAGGGTTTCCTCAACATGTAACTGATTGTGGCAAAATAAAAGCACTCATACTTTTAGAATATATGTTAAAAGCATACGAGATTCACACACACACACTCACTCACACACACACACACACACACGTATATATATATATATATATATATATCAGATTTTAAAAACCAACACTGTCGGCTCCAGCCTGCCTGTGCTACTGTGCGCTGCGCTGCTTTCAGGAGTGAAGTAAAACTAGATGGCAGTCTGAAGTAGAGGAAGAGAAAAGTTGAAAGTTCCTAAAGAAGACTAAGTTGAATGCATTTTTAGTTCAAGCCTAATTTTAATGTATATTGTGGCTGAATTACAGTAATGTAGCTCATTGATATAGTTTGGTTGTCATTTTGAAGACAATTGGAAAACACTTTTGTTCCCCCATTTCGGTGACAAAGTACGACAAGTTATTTGGACTCAGATGTGAGTACATTCCGGTGATGGGAAACAGGAAGGACTGGGGTAGAACATGGCTACCTGCGCCTCCTGCGGTATCTGCTGGGCGTCGATGTGGTCGACCAGGTAGGCAGTGAGGTGGCGGTCCGTGTTGGCCAGAGACTCCTGGATTTGTCGGAGCGTCTTGTCGTTCTCCTGGGCCCACTGCAAACTCTGCTCCAGCTCCTTCCGCCTGAGCGCCGCCTGGGGAGAGAAAGAGCTCACATCACACACCGTCAACACACACCAGCGATTTGACGCAGAAGACGACCAGCAGAAAAACCCAATCAAGCATTTAAATAATTTCTTGGATCGCTACTTTTTTACTTTTACTTCAGTAAAAATATGTTGAAGCTGTGCTTCTCTTATTTGAGTACAATTTTTGGGAACTCTACCCACCTTTGCTGTTTTGCAGTACGTGAATAAAAAGCTAATGCTAACCAGCTACAAAGTTCCTTTCAGAAACAAAGTAAGCCAAAAGGCAAATAAGTCATAAAATCAATTTTCTTTCATAGGTTTCTAAAATCCAACATTTAGCTCAAGTACTTTTTTTTTTGCTGGAAGCAAGAAAATAAGATAAAACACCGTAATACATTGTGAAGACATTATCGCTACAATCACAATCACACTCAGAAAGAACAAAAGCGCAGATATATAAACGTTTAATCCGTTACCAGGAAGACTTTAGTCTTTCTTCAGACACAAGCCTCAGTATTATTTAGCTCAAACATTGAAAACACACACAGCCCTCCTCCAAACCGTCTGAATTGTACCCTCTTGAAGTCCGGACTCCGAAGTATCTCCCTCATGTCGCCTCCTGAAACCCGGCGGTCTTCAGATGGCAACCGGTGTCATCGTCCAGGACCTACCAGTCATTCCTTTCCCTCGTCTCCCCGGTCACCGACCGTCTATGAGATTAGCTTGTACACGCACCAATTACCTCATAGGAAATCTCCGAGCCAGAGTGTGTGTGCTTGGTTTCAGGTGAGCATGCTAATCTTACACTGAGGGATAATAGATCCAAGTATAGCCGTGAGCCCCTTGTGCTTTGCACTGTGTTTTCCTAATATAAGATTTGAATGCATCCCAGAGGAAACGTCACCATAAAAAGGTTTGAGGGAGACAGCGGGGTTGTTATTTTTCTCCAGGAAGTGCGGTTGGTAAAATATGACCAGCATGCTTCTCCCATCGCGAAGAACTGGGAGAAGACAATGGGGTGAATTTAGCAGCCAGAAAAGAAATGGGTGATTTCAGAAAACCCAGATGGGCTTTGAGGTGTTTTGAACGACTTAAAAATGTGTTTGCTTCAACGATGGTAAAAATTAAAGCGGAAAAGAGGGTTAGAAAGGACACCGAGGGAGGACAGACCCTTTATAATGCCGTAAAACATAACCACATGGACACAGGGACGAAATAAAAGCAAAGTATGTTGATGCATAATCCCTCTAGGGGAGACAGAGCAGGGTTTATCAGTTTACAAGGAGAACTTTAATCTGGCTCTATCGTTAGAGAAGCAACACGGTGGCAGTGTGCCCGTATGGGTAGCACGCTCATGTGTCTCCTACTGACGGCCCTGAGAGAGAGCAACGTTAGCAACTTCTGGAGCACCTTTCTATTGTTTGCAGAAATCCTTGTTTTCTTTTGGCCGTGAGGGAAGATTAGCATCACTGAAGAAAACAAACGGCGGGTTTAGGGCAACGTGGCGTTTGAAATGTACAATTCTCATGATTATAGATGAGTTTAATATGATGGTTTAACTCATTCCCGAAAACATAATTGGGTAACAATAACGAACGACTGTATGAAATTCTCCTTCTAGCAATCAAATCTGCAATTTGTCATATCTTTCGGGAATGCAATGCACCAACAGGGGGACGAGAAAACCAAACAGATGCCAGAACACAAGTTTTTACATGTTTGTTGATTTTTACTAGTAATAAACCCATATAAAGACGGAAAGAAGGAAGTATTTAGAAGTCTGAGAATGGGTCAGGATGCAGACATTGGTGCTATAACCAGCCACCGTTGGTTATGGATTATTAATACAGAGAAAGCACAGGCAGAGAGATGGATACTATCTTACCCTGGCCATGAGTTCGTCCCATCGGGTGTTGAATGCATCCAGTTTCTGCTGAATCAGTTCGTCCAGAACCCCTCCGTCCATCAGCGTCTGGGCCAGTTCTCGGATCTGGTTCCTGTTGTCCTCTGGGTGTTGCAGAAGAACCTCGAGGTTCTGCAGGTTTGAAGTCCAAAAGTTTTTCTTTACTGATATAGACTAAAATATATTCTTTTCAACAGCAGCACGTAAAGATATTCTGAAGGTAAATCTCTGCTTGTAGCGTTTGTAGAGCCTTTGCATTGGAAAAGAAATGTTTTGAAGGTTGTTTCTAGTTCAGATTTGCCGCTGTCGGACCGCCGACAACGGAATGGTTTATGTGAAGGTGTGTTATGTGAATACGTAATCGGTTTTTTACAGTGTTGTCTTGAATTGACACAGAAGCAGAATTCCAAAACAACAAAAATCACATTTTAGCAAAAATACAAAATGGTAGCACCAACTATCACCATTGTTGTATCTGAGGGGCAACTACAGATCCACAAGCTTGTGGCGTAATTAGATCATGTGGAGTAAGAAGATGTGAATCAAAATTATGAATGCAGACGACTGATGGTGCGTTCACACCAAACGCGTTTTGAGGCTCTAGCACGTCTGGTTTCCATTCAAAGTCTATGTGGAGGAGCATTGAAGGCGCATCAGATACGTCAAAGTCACTATAGCTGTTGTTTCCCTTGACAGCCTATTTGTCAGACACTCAAAATGTTCCAAACGCTTCAAAACGTGTCGCGACGAGCCCTCGATGCCCCTCCACGTAGACTTTGAATGAAAATCAGATGCGCAAAACATGTCAGCTGTGAACGCACCAATCAGAACGTTACATCTTGTCTGTATCTCTGTAACTCTTTGAAAATACTTCTGTCTAAGTCTAGTGAATACGTCCTAGAAACTCCCACAATGTAAAGGAATGAGATTATGGAGTACTGTATCTTCCCGATCGTCTGACAATTATTTCATTTTAGCTTAAGTTTATTGTTTTGATTGCATTTCTGTAAGTGCGTTGGGAACCGACTGGTGTAATCAAACACTCAGCGGTCGATGACATCAGTCTCACTCTTCTTGTGGCACCTTAAGAGTCAACAAACAAGTCGGTGAAAGAAAACAGCAGTTGTGCTCATAACAGCGCTCCTAATGAAACCTAACATGTGCCACTTCCTTTAAAAAAATGTTGGAAGTCGGAGAAAATGAACACTTGGGATTACTACAGAGGTCCAAATTAAATCCAAGCCTTTAGGCACGACAATAAACAGCCAGATGTCTGAGGCTGTTTTCTAACCACATCAAGGGCCAGTAAAGAAAGTTTACAAGAGTTGGTTGATGGGATGCAGAAGCTTTACAAAGGTCAATTAGTAGTTACCCATAAATTCTTAGTTTACTGGTTAATTAAATGCTGAGTAAGCAGCTGCTCTGCACCAAGCTACAGCGTAGCAGAGAATCACGTCACTATATTGTCTAAATGAAGTCGGTCCCACCAGACTTCCTTTCTTCTCGTTTTCATTCCATATACGGGTTCTTAAAGGATTATTCCTCACTGGCATGGATAATCTGCTTTCTTAGGGATTTCCCTGTCAAGACTCTGGCATGCTAAACAGTTTAGTTTTTTTTTTTTTTTTTTTGAGAGTAACTATGGTTACATATGTTTTCAACTGGGTGCGGCCAAAGAGCCGACAGCTCAACCCACAGATTTTGAAAGAAATTGAAGACGACGCATCGTTTCCTCCTACTTGTCGACTCTGTGTTGAAAGAATAAAAAAACAATCCTAAAGGGCTGTGCAGACTTTTACAATAAACTTTAGGGTTTCCAAATGTTTAAACTGCAAAAACAAAAACAGCAAAAACAGTGGATTTGTTCTACTATGATGTACGAAATGCTAACAGGTATTTATCCCCATCTTTAGATCAATTTTCCGCAGCAGAGACTCTTCTGGGACCGTTGGAGGCACAGATTAGGATGCAATGTGTGAGCCACAAAGAAATGACATCAGCGCACACCATCCACACCAGGGCATTAAAGGTGTCTCTGCCAGTAATAAGCCCTGGGTCACCAGTGACCTGATAAAGTTGATGAGCAAGAGGAAGACGTCCTTCAGGGAGAAACTGAGCAATCTGATGGTGGTCTGGAAACGGCTCATGACCTGAATCTGCTTCCAAACCAGTTCAAGTAAGGACTCCATATTCTCAAACCTCCTGTGATAAATATCAACACAATTTATAGCAAGTCATCTAAGTGCTACTGTGACAGCAGGCCATACTGACTTTTTCAGTTTGTTAAAATTTGTTCTCTTTGAAGAGAACAAAAGAAAAATCAAAGTCACTTTTCTTTCATGACTGGCTAAAGATTGGACTTTAACTGTATCTCCACAGGTGAAAACACACCTGAAATTTCAATTTCAGACTCTAAAAGTGGGTGGTTTCTCCCCAATCCTAACATCAATACCCAATATAGCCGCCACATTTTCAAAAGGTTTTTATTACTGTGATAATAGCCTCTTATTCTGTTGATTTATATCTTTATTATGCATTTTCCAGGCACACAATGCTATTCTATAGCGCAGTCAAGGTAACTATGCTAACATTAGTCGTTATAAAAATGCTACATATCTCAAGCTTAAAAGAAATTTGAATTTGTAATCTAACGGGCCTCTGTCTCTTTAAGAAACTCCTGCTCCATTTGAAACCCCGCCTCCAGGAAGTCATCACAACACAGCTCCTTTTTATTAATCCTTTAACAATAATTTTGCCAGCGTTGCTCTGAGAAGTTCCATCCAATGTTTGCTAATTGCTGCTGGCTAGTCTGAAGGAGCTGAGTGGAGGAGTCGCAGTTTGTAGAGCTGAATGGTTGCCGTGGGAGATGAAAACAAGTTTCCTTGTTCTCAAACAAGGAAACACTCCAGATACGTTTTGATGAGGGAATAATATTTATAACATAATGTAAAGCTAAAGAAGATCGATTTTACTGCCCCTTCAAATGAATCCCCAATCCTGGAAATTGTTGGAATGTACATTCAAAGTACTTTTCAAAAGAGCAAAGTTAATGTGGGAGTGATGATGCTCCCAGATTCAAGTTGGAGCTTCAGAGGCAAATGGACCGCAGCATTAAAAAGTCAAAAGCATTCGTTTACATATTAGCGCGACATATTTCTGCATTTAGTTTTAGACATAACTCGGCTGCCTGAATCTTCGCAACTAAATGATGTATAATTTTCTCCTGGAACTCAGGGATGAAAATACCTTCATCTGTAACATATGTAACCTCAGGATGTGACATTTTTACTTTTTATCCCACCCGGCTCATTTAAACTGTCATTTCTGATTCTGCTGTGAAAATGGATGTTGCTGGTTATCACTAAGTGTGTGCAGAACCTGGAGACCTTGAGCTCCGATTAATGCCAGGCAGATTTCCTCTCTCCATTACCAACACGGACAGCGTTTAGCTGAGAAATTCAGATTGTCGAATCGTCTCTGTGGCGATGAGGAATTTCATGCTAAGACACTTGACACGGTTACGATGATTTTTAAAATTTTCATTTTTATCTTGTTAAGGACGGTGGAGGCATTTCTGAGGTTTTAAGTGAAAAGCATCTCCTTGGTTAAGTGGAGGGTTTATCCCATTTGATCCTAATCATCTGGGCTTAATGAGAGTTTTGAAAATCTTTTCTTTTTTCTTTTATTTGTGAAAATTACAAAGAGAAACACCTGATGTCAGGCTTTTGGCAACATGGGTCAAAATCTGTGAATTACAACAATTTGTGGGCTCAAACAAAAATAATTTACAAAGAATCACAAAGAATTTATATAACCTTTTGCACAATAAATAAAGCAATTAGAGTTTTTGTAAAAATGGGACGTGTAAAAGCCAAAAAATGTAAAAGATTCTTCACGTCCTGCTAAAAAACACGACAGCTTTTTGAGGTTGTTTGGCGGAAAAAAAAAATGTAAGAAAAAAAAAGTCAGAAAAAAAAACAGGATTTGAGTCATTTTTTGATCAGATTTGGAGTATTTAACAAAGTTCATTAAATGAATTAAAAGCAGATTGGCGTTCATCTAAGTCTGCTTTTGAGTGTTTCTATGCTTTGTTGCATCAAAAGTTTCCCATTATAGGAAGATTTTAAACGTATTTGTAATAATTTTACACTAATTAAAAACATAATAAATCTGCATCAGTGTGAGCCTCCTGTCCTGGAAGGCCCATTTTTGAGCTTCTTAGTCTCTATGGATGCTGTAAATTGGTTTAACTAAATTTGTAGTCTGTAAAAATGTGGAAATATATATTAGTGTGATTTCAAATAGATTTACACCGTTTTTCTATCTCAGTCATTTTCTCATTTTTTTTAGATGTATAATTAAATTGAAATTGCAAAAATGTAATTGATTCTAAGAAGCATTTATCACTTTGTATTAATACTATTATAGCAAAAATATAATAACAGACTGACATAAATATATGGGACTGATTGAAGTGGGAAATGATAGTTTTGTGTAGATTCACATATAAATCTACACATAATAATAATAAAATGAGTAGGAAGATAAGGAACTCACTATGAAGTGTGTGTGTTGTGTAATTCTGCCTGCAGCACTTTGAGCTTCCCTTTTAAAGTTAATATATGCAAATGAAACCAAATGAAAATTCAATTTCTGAACTTGAACCATCTTTGTGCTGCTGGTAGTCAAAAAAAAAAAAGTGGATCTTACCTTTTGTACACACTTCTGTGCCTCCCTCATAATAGAATTAACATATTAGGAGTTTTTTAACTGTATGCAGTGGGAAACAAAGTTAATGTTTGACTTGCTCAAGCAGTGAGTGTGCATTATGGTAATACTTACATCCAGCGCCTTCTGCAGCTCCTCCGCTCCCCCCTGCAGGTTTTCTATGTCGTCCAGTTTCTGCTCCAGCTGGTCCAGGAAGGCGTTCTCCTGCTCCAGGTAGGACAGCAGCTCACACCAGCAGGCCCACACCTCCTGTGGACGGTGCACAGACACGCACAGAAAGTCAGGAGACGTGGAACGGAATGGAAACGCTGCTCGACATCTGCGTGTTTGGCAAGTTTCGGTTCGTCCTGAAACAGGCTAAAGTTCTAATTTTCCCGACGACAAACATGCAGCTCCTGTTAGCAGACCAGAGCGGATTCCGACTTGTGCAAGTCAAAAGGTTTGAGGAAAAAAACAGTATAGATTTTTTAAATTTATTTTTTAATATCTGGTTTCAACTGTAAACAATACTTTCTAAATTTAGGCTTTTAATCAAATATTAGAGTGCATTGTGTAGTTTGAATCTTCTTCTCTTTCAAGAACTTTTCACAAAAATCAAGCATTTTCAAGGATTTCAAGCACCCTAATTAATGTCGTTTTCATCCGAACTGCATTCTGACTTTATTACGTTTTTTTTTTTAAATTAAAATTAGCCAATAATCCATCAAGTAGATGAGGGTAGATGATGTACCTCTAGAGTTTTACATTTTCCATCCAGGCGGCTACACAAACGCTGGTAGTTGGCCGTCAGTACGTCCAGTTCCGAGCGCAATGCATCGTGGGCGGTGGGCGGGGCCTTGCCGATGAAGCTGTTGACGCTGTCCGTCAGGAGTTTGACCTTTTGCTCCTTGGAGTGGACCTCCTCCTGCGCCCTCTGAGAAGTGGAGGGAAAAATCAAAAATATGAAAACATTTTCACAAAAAGCAAGGCCGTTTTCTAAACTAACACGTACATAATGTATCCATACAGATTTACTTCCCAGTGGGGTTCGAAGCAGAAAAAGAGAACAAATAAAGGAAAGTAGGAGTTTAAAGGATGAGTGAAATTAAGGAGATTTAATCTGATTTTTTTTTTTGTTACTTTTGCGCTCAGCAGGGTGAGACATTTCTTCTGCTGAGGCTGTTAGAGATATCACAAAGCAAACAGTGCCACAGGGGGAATTCACAAATCTATTATATTCAAGTTATGCAAGCTAAACAAAAAGAAAAAAAAAAGACGTTGGCAGAGGATGGAAAGTTGATGCAATTTGATACAAAATTGAGGAATCCGGGGAGCAGAGCGAAGCCACTGACGAAAAGGACGGAAGACCGAGTGAGAGAAGGATTTCGACAATAAAAGCCTGGCAGCCTGGAGGCGTCATCAGCCCTGAATTATTCACAGTCAGGGAGGGAGAGACAAAGAGGAGGGAGAGTCCGTCAGAGCTGGGGAGTCAATGTGAGTCAATGGGAGGGATTTCACAGGAGAAGTCTTTTTGTGATAAACATCCAGTCTTATATATGCCTTCCATATTCTGTTTTATTTATTTACTTCCTTTTTATTTATTGTTATTTTTGGATACTTAAAATATCTTCAAATTCCAGTGCTAATTGTTCTTTACAAAATCAGAAAAATACATTTTACTTTTTTTCCCACGACATTATAACCCATATGATTCGTCTTATGTCAGATCATGTTGTATACAGATCCAAACTGAAGACCAGAACAAAACATAAGGATCCAAACAATCCACTTATGTCCCGTTATACCTCCCATGATGACGGTTTATGGCCACGTGCTGATACTTCTAGACAACAACGTCCCTTCTTCAGGCTGCGCCCCTCTCAAAAGAACAAGCTGTTCTCTTTGAATTCGCTCCCCGCTCAGACATCTTTCCACTTTTCCAGCTGCTCTCAGAAGCATTATCAAAATTGTTCAGAGCGGGACATTTTACCACGGAAATAATTATTTCAGAAGACATCGCCAGCTGATGTTCAGTCAAAGTTCCTCTGGTGAGATATTATTTTCAGTGTCCAGCTAATGCCTAAAACATTTCGAATGTGATGGAAGTGCTTTTTTTTTTTTCAGTCGGTTTATTCTAGTTTTGGAATATTATCTATTATCATCCAAAACATCACCAGTTAGCCTTAGCCTTTGATGATCCTGCTGAACACACTAAAGGTGCTTTCGCACTGCACTGCACTGCACTGCACTGCACTGCACTGCACTGCACT